ACTTTATATTGTGTTTAATGGGAAGATTTGGCTGGCAAAATGAAAAAAATGTGCTGGGCTAAACTTCTCAGAAAGTGAAATTTCATCTTTTCAGAGCCAAAGAGCAAATATGACCCAAAACTGCCATTAAACAAATAAAAATTCTTTCTGCTAGGAAAACTGTGAGCTGCACTGGCAGAGAACTGTAGTTTTATCTGAAATGTGACATCCATCTATATACTCTCCAAGTATGTACCCTACTGTATAGGAACATTTCAAACAGATTTTTCCTTTAAAAAGGCCTGTCTTGATTCTCAGAACTTACTCTTGACTGGTGTTTTTGAGAATCTTTCAAAATACGAAAATATGCGATGATGTTCTTGTACAACAGTAATGTTCAATAGGTGAAAGTGAATAGGGAAAAGTAGACAATCAGTATCAATAAATATCTGGTTTTTGTTTAGCATAAAATGGCTTCCTAGTTTGCCATTCTAGATTTTCTCTAGAAAATGGTCTGGAAGCTGACACTTCACAGTAAAATATATTGATAGGTGATGAATGTATGCTTCAAAAGAGAACACACTTCAGAATGTTTATGGTGTAAAGATTTTCCTTGGCGGGACCCCATACTATAAGTTGTAAGGTTGATGCTATGCAACCCTCAAAACTGTAGGAAAAGCATTTACTTAGAAGTTGAGTAGGAGCTGTTCAGAGTAGTGCGTGGTTAATCCAAACTTTGATGTTTTGACACTTTCCCACAATCTTTTAATGTGTTGACAAATTTGTTTCCCAAACATACTTATATTCAGTTGGTAATTCTCACTTTTACATTTGAAATTCCTGCATTTGTGCTGCCTTGTAAATATTTTCCACTCTTGCTGCTTTTTACGTGATCTCCTTTTGAAAGATCCTGTTCTTTTCCTCATGGTCTTCATTTTCTCACTGCTCCATAATATAAAAACTTGCCCTCCCGAGAACTGTCAGGGAGGATTTGTTATTCATCTCCATTGCAGATTCGTTGGCTGACTTACTTTTGGAAATGTCGTGTTGATGACTTTAATGACAAACGTTGCTCACAAAACTTACTTTGGTGGTTCAGTCACTTCAGAGGTCTTGTTTTCTGGATTCTACCAAAATTAATAGTCACTGGAAGACTTAAATCTGTTTGTTCTGAGTTGTGGTAACAAAAAAGCTATGTAGGTCAAACACTTCATTGCTGCAAATTCACTAGTAATAACAGAATTTAACTGCTTTATTGTATAATGAGGCCACTTGCTATTTGGATGTTGAAGTAATGACTTGAGGTTTACATGTCTTTGCAAACAAGCTTTTAAGAAAAAGCTTTTTGTCAAAAGGGAGATACTCTCTGACCATACAGAACCCGGTGACTTAATTGAAAGGAGAAACAACAGTCTTTTATTCTGGTAAATGCAAGATGTAGACAGTACAAAATCTTGGCATTAGGACAGGCGTGAGCAGTGATGAAGCTTGAAAGACTGGATGTTTAAGAAGGAGCTTTCCCTCTGTGACCGTGGAATACTTTCTGAGAAATTGTCTGTTCTAGAGGGATTTGTAAATTATGGAGGGGAGTATAATTTTATCACTATTTTTAGATGTCAGATTCTGAACAGAAGGTAACTTAACCCATTTTGTAATTGAAGTAACCGTTGTAGATGTTAACCACTGAAAATAGTAGGGCAGCTGAGTTGACCAGACTGAAAAAAAAATAGGTGAAATGCTGTTTGATGGTCATTCAACTCCCCTTCCTGTGTCTGTCTCATGTATGTTCTCCTCCAAGCTGAGTACATTGTGATGTTGGGAAGGGAAATCCTAGACCCTTTTCTTCTAGATTCTGTAATGTATCACTAGAGTTTACTACCAAGAGGTTGCACTTTGTGGCACTGTTGTATATGTGTAAGGGTAAAAATAATTGTCAATCAGTATCAGTCTTGCAATGGACAAGCCATTTTAATAGAGTTGCTCCTAACTTTAGGGTTTGAACTGATTTGAGGATGTAGTAAGGTAGTCACTGTCAATAGGATTTTTCCATGGCAGAACAAATTTCTGAAGAGAAATAAGTGTTTCTTTTTATTTTTGAAGTAGGAAGCTCATGCTTCTGACAGTTTTCTAAAAGAACAGGGAGTAAATGGGAGTCTACTCCATCTACTGTCTTAATACAGTTGCCAGTTTTATCCTGGTGTTTCTGCTGCTGGCAGGTGTGTTAGTGGTTTTTTCCTCTTCCTGTTTTCTTTGAGAATAACTATTGTCCTTATTTTGGTTATTTGTGCATTCTTCCAACAAAACAAGATAGAGGCAATAGCTTGAATTACCTCCAAGTTTCTGATTAAGATTCAGAATTACCTAACTTCCTATAAAATTCACTCTTCTTGGCAAAGTGTGAGTTTGGGAAGAGACCACTCTATTTATGTTGTCTGCATCCACACTGAGGAGGTACTCTGGTGTTTCTGTACTGGTCCATTAAGATGAAGGTAGTCATAATGGAAGCACCGTTAATGCTGGCAAAGCTGCATCTTATCTGATGGCACTTAGCTGCAGAACTAACTCGAGGGAATTCTGCTGCTCTGTGTTCACACTGGGGTACTCTTGCATTCTTCCCTTGGTGGGCTGTCTGAAATCCTTTTCGTGTGAATGTCATCTCATTTTTGCTTTTGGAGATAAATCATCACAATCATAGAGCTAGATCTATTTTAACCCCCACTTCCATGTTTGCCATAAGTGTCTTGCTTTTGAGTATGGGATGGCACTTTTTCTTGTTTTGTTTCGAGGTGAGTTTGGTTTTGTTAGAGTTTTTGTTTGTTTGTTTTAATAGGTAAAATGCATTGAATTTGAATTAAGAGGCTGTTGATTTATATTTAACTTTGAGCCCTCTCAGCAGACTGAAGGAGGGAATAAGAGAATAATTGAGAGGTTTGGGCAGAGAAAATGAAAGCAGTAGAACTTCAAAAGAGTTTAAACAGCTGAAAGCAGGATCTATTGCAAAAGGCTGATGGGACTTGTATGCGAAAAGATGTAGTCATTCACTTGCTCTTTTGACCTTTTGTGATTGTTTGGTTTTGGTATGGCCTTTCAAAGTTCAAGTTTTATTCTCATTGTAACTTTTAATTCAGAGACCCTTTTCTTGTCAATTCCTGACATGGAAGAATGGTGTGACTAGAATATGACCCAGAGCTTTTTTTTTTTTTTTTTAGGAAGTTGAACATTAAAAAAGATAATGGAACAGAAGTAGTAGTAGAATGGGCTTTAGGCAACCTTACTTCTGAGTACTTTGCTTCTTATGTAATGAGCAGAGTGATGCTTTCGTTCCCAATGGTTTACAGTTCTTTGACCCACTCAACAATATTTTTTTGCCTTTTTTTTTTTTTCTTTAAAAGCAGACTTTTCAGTATACTATGCTGATGTCAAGAAAAAAATAGCCATATTGTTGTTTGTGATGAGAAAGGAAATGAGAAGGGCAAACCTTAATGCTTGGATGCACTTGTTTATGTATGTAGTCAGCTTCTGTTTTGACATTGACTTGTGTTTTATTGCCATTGGGCAAATTATTAGGTTTGTGCAATTATTGTGAGAACAGTATTAACATCCATAGGAACTTGTAAATATTTAAGGTAAGCACAGTGTACTTTGCTGTGAGTGTGTATTGGTGACTGGTGGGGGTTTTGGAGTTCTTTGTGTTTCTTTTGGTTTTACTTTTTTAATTATTGGGAAGTTGGGTTGTTATGTTTTTATGTATCTTATAACTAATCCCAGGAAGGAATAAAATACCGCTTTTATTGTGGGCTGTTGCTAGCCTAATTTTGCTATAGGGTTAGCTGTGCGTTGGTGTTGTTGGCTGGCAGAAAGCTTTGGAGAACTTGCTTATATTAACTTATACCAGTGAAATTACCCCCCCCCCCAATTACAGAGATTAATTTTCTGCAGAAAACCTCTGAGTATTAGGTGAAATACTTATTAGACTAAAGTATACAGCTTTGCTGGCATAGTGTTTCTGTTAGGAATTTCTGTTAGGAGCATTGTGCTAGTGTTGTATACTTATCTGCCTTTAGTGATAAATTGTTGTGTGTGCTGGCCGGTTTATAGAGTTTTTGTCTTTGTCTATGCATTCAGACTGGTGTGCTGAAATGTTATGTCCTCTCTGGTTTGATTTTGTTTGTATAAATAATGTTGGGAGCCCTTGTTACTGCTGCTGCTATTTTCATTTTGCTGATCTCCCTGTGTCAGGCATGTTCTCTCATTATTCTTTGAGCAGTCAAGTTACATTGTACAATATGCCTGAGATGAGCATTAAGCCTGAGATCTCGTTTCTTGTACCCTAATGGTCAACATTCTTATTTTAATCAAAAGGAGAAGGGAGAGGGGGAAAACACTTAAACTCGAAGGAGTAAGAATTTGAGCCCTACACATGGCAAAACACTGATCTCTTGTTGACAGTTGCTGATGGTGGCTACATTAGAATCAAGGCCAAAAATGGGGTTTGTTCTTCTTGTAGTAACTGATCATTTCAGTTGTGCTGTTTATAAAGTTGTTAAAATGACTGTCCTTACACTAGCACCCGATTATTTTTTGACACTGATTCATGGCACCTGTTGCTGAAAGCACGTGTCAGTAAGAGTCAGTTTTATAGTGTTGATGAGAACTCATTTTGGTTTAGTGCCTTAATCATAGTACATTTTTCCTGGAGCTTAGATGAGGTTATATTCTGCGTACCTTCTCTGCATACTAAAATTTTCACAGATTGAGACTTCTGCTACCTGAAATACTACAAATTGCACTGCTCTTGAATCTTTGATGGCTTCTAGTAGCTTTACAGGGCTAACAAAATAGTGGTCTGGTCTTTGTAGTGTGTATCTATAATTACAAACTTGGACTGCATATTAGCAGTGAGATTTGCTACAGAATTGTCCTTTTTTTTTAATTTGGTGGGTTGGTGTGGTGGGGTTTTTAGGTACAAGTATGTATATACCCAACATGTATTTTTCTGTTTTCTAACTTGTCCCTGTCTCCACAGGAATTACTGTAATTACAGAGAGAGCCTGACTTACAATGGGGGATGACAGTGAGTGGATGAAACTGCCCATTGACCAGAAATGCGAACACAAGGTAGGAAATCCTGTCTTTGGGTTTGGCTTACTGTGTATCTCTGCTTGTGGTGATTCTGTAGAGCTTCTCTATCTAAATGCATCATGGTTAGGTAATCTCGACAGCCACATGGCATGTGTATTAACAGCTCTGAAACTGCAGCAGCTCTATCCAACCCAGAGACTGAATAACCTTTATTAAGCAGATTTTAGTGGCATTATATTCTACATGGTGTAAGCTTGTGTGCTGAAGGATCAGTACACTCATACACTCATTATTCATCTGTAGCTGAAACCATTGTTGGGCTCCCACCTTCTCATCAGTGGTTGTTAGAACTAATGAAGAGCAGTGGGGAAAACTGACATCTCTCTAGCCAGATCATTCTTGGTGGGAGAAAAACAAGTATTTTGTCCTGTTGCATGTTATTCAAATAGACATTGAAAAGAAGTCTGCAGATGCCAGATTGCTGACCATACTTTCAAACATGATTGAAGAACTTTGTGAGATTGAGTTAAGATTGTACTAGCACAACATTTAAATGTCCTATTTCTACTTCCAGCTGTGGAAAGCAAGATTAAATGGTTATGAAGAAGCCCTTAAGCTTTTCCAGAAGATAGATGACGAAAAGAGTCCCGAATGGTCCAAGTATCTTGGATTGATAAAGAAATTTGTGACAGACTCCAATGCAGTGGCTCAGCTGAAAGGACTGGAAGCAGCGCTTGCTTATGTTGAAAATGCTCATGTAGCTGGGAAGTAAGTAGCTTTTTCTTGCTGCTGTTAGGCTGTTAGGACAGTTTAGTGTACTCTCTGAGAAAGGCTGCACAGAAATTGTGGAGTGGCCACTAACAATTCTGATCTCTTGTTGAGAGCAGAATTTGCTCTCTAATCCAGAGAATTTGCCGAATGGCAGGCTTTCCTTGTAGATGGCCTCCATATGCATATGAACTTGTCACAAATTGCTTACAATGTTCTAAGAAGCTACTAATGGCAGTAGTAAAAATTTCTGAAATGGCAAAGAAAGTGAATCAGTAATGTGGTAGTGTAGGTGCTGGGAACTAGAATCCCTGTTCTGTTTGACTAAAGCAGGCTGTCTGTACAGGGAGCCTTTTTTTCAGGGGAATATTTTTGTAATTCATACATGAAATAAAATGTAGTTATGTGATGTTGCATCCAACCTAACCAATATTAATCTTCACACCTGCCAGTTTCTTTATGGATGTTTTTTAGTACTTCTCTGTTGTTGAGCCCATGAAATAGACCATAATCCTGAGGGTGAAATATAAGCACCTAACAGGCTAGATTAATGCTTTGGTCTGCTGACTTTGTGACCTGATGAAATGAATAAAAGTCTTATTTAAAAAAAAAAAAATAAATCCAAAGCATTGTTTAAAAACTTAACAACCTTGCAAAGTCCTTGATTTAAAAGTGTTGTAAATAATAGAATTTATTTGAAGCTTGGAAATATATGTGAAATCCTGTGCTGGGATTATGTACTGATGCAGTATGTTAACTGTAACATATACAATTCCAGGACATGGCATTTAATTTTTAACCTCAGCTAGTGTTTTTTAATACACTTTTGGGAATGTTTACTATTCACTGGTGTAGTCTGGTATTAGAAACATGTTAATTATGATCTGCAGGAGCTCTTTTGATTGAACTAGAGGTTGAAGTTATCCCTTACAAAAGGTTAATACTTTCAAAATTAGCTTAGGATATAGTCTCTTTTGTATGAGGACTCGCTGGGTTTTAATCTGGTTTTGCTATTGTGTGTACTTTTTTTCTGTGGATAATGGTGTAGAACACTTGATTCACATAAATGTTCCAAAAGTAATACTCTCTGATCTTTCAGGACAACCGGAGAAGTAGCATCTGGAGTTGTAAATAAGGTGTTCAATCAGCCGAAAGCCAGAGCCAAAGAGCTGGGTCTAGATATATGTCTAATGTATATAGAAATCGAGAAAGGGGAGGTGATACAAGAAGAATTATTAAAGGGTCTGGACAACAAAAACCCAAAAATCATAGTAGCATGTATAGAGACACTGAGGAAAGCACTAAGGTAAGCTTTTAGTTCTTTAAAGGTTTGGGTTTTTTTATGGTTTTCTTTTTTCCTTTTTTCTTAGCAATGTGTGGAGTCTAATTTACTGCTTAAGTCTTTAGCAGGCCCTTGCCTTGTTAGTGTTGAATAGGATGAATCTTTCCTTAACTGATATGTCTTGACAACAGGAGTTCAGAGCATCATGAGATTTGTTAGATGCGAGGGTTGTCCATGTTGTACAAGCCTCATCTGGATATCTTTCATTTGTGGTAGCTGTTTACCAAACTTCTATTTTCACAGCAGAAAGAAGAGCAAAATTAGTGTGTCTTGTTCCAGACTGTGAGGCTTCTCCTCTTCTGAATACTTGAAATAAACTAACTGAATGTGAAAACTAAATACAGTTTGGTTTTTTTCTTAAAAACAGCTTTTCTCAGTGATGGATGTTTAGTTGGGTACACAGTGTGTGTTTTTAGAAGGCAGTTTAAAAAAAACCCCTCATTGCACACTAAGCTTCCACTGTCTGTGTAATAATTACAGAATCACAGAATATGCTGAGTTGGAAGGGACCCACCAGAATCCTCAAGTTCAACTCCTGTCCCTGCACAGAACTATCCCCAAGTCACACCATGTGCCTCAGGGTATCATCCAAATGCTTCTTGAACTCTGTCAGGCTTGGTACTGTGACCACTTCCCTGGGGAGCCTGTTCCAGTGCCCAACCACCTCTGGGTGAAGACCCTTTTTGTAATATCCAACCTAAACCTCCCCTGAGACAACTTCAGGCCATTCCCTTGGGTCCTGTCACTTGTCACCACAAAGAAGAGATCAGTGCTTGCTCCTCCTGTTCCCCTCACAAGGAAGTCATAGACTGCATTGAGGTCTCCCCTCAGTCTCCTCCAGGCTGAGCAGACCAAGTGACCTCAGCTGCTCCTCATATGGCTTCCCCTCAGGGCTCTTAACCATCTTTATTGCCCTTTGGACTCTCTAAGGGCTTAATATCTTTTTTTATATTGTGGCTCCCAAAACTGCACAAAATATTCAAGGTGAGGCCACACCAGTGCAGAGCAGAGTGGGACAATCCCCTCCCTGGACCAGCTGGCGATGCTTTGCCTGATGCCCCCCGGACACGGTTGGCCCTCCTGGCTGCCAGGGCACTGCTGACTCAGATTCAACTTGCCATCGACCACGACCCACAGGTCCCTTCCCATGGCACTGCTTTCCAGTATCTCATTCCTCAGACTGTATGTACATCCAGGGTTGCCCCATTCCAGGTGCAGAATCTGGTGCTTCCCCTTACTGAACTTCATATGACTGGTGATTGCCCATCCCTCCAATTTGTCGAGGTCTCTCTGCAGGGCCTCCCTGCCTTTGAGGAACTCAACAGCTCCTCCCAGTTTTGTACTGTCTGTAAACTTGCTTAGTATCCCTTCCAGTCCTGTGTCCAAGTAATTTATGAATATTTTGAAGAGCACAGGGCCTAAGATGGAGCCCTTTGGAACCCCACTTTATTAAAAAGGAGAGCTGATAATGCTCCCTAAAAACCAAGTCCAATTTAAGATAAGGTAGTACGTTTCAGTAATATTTTTCTTTTCCTTTTTTGTTCCATGTCAAGTGTATTTGCTACCTTTGAGTGAAAAATACTGGAGCTTTATAAAATTCTTGGTGTATATGTAATTCAATGTCCATTAGGGTTTTTTTTTTAAGGAAACAGATAATTTTGGAATTAATGGACAGAACACTTTACTCAGAAAAGTAGCTCGTGTGAAAACTGTATAATGTATATGGTGAGTGTCTTATGCTGTGTATGTTTTAGAGGACTTGCTGAGGCATATATATAGATAGTCCTTGTTAAACTGCTTCAGGCTTCTGTAAAAAGTCAAAAGCATTGTGCTTAGCACATTATCTGTGTTTCTGCAAAGTGAAACTACTGTCCCATATTTAAGAATATATTTTAGCTATTTTAAATTGCCTAATCTAGTGAAATGTCCTTTAACAGTGCAGTGTAATTAGAAACCTGCATAACCATCCTCAGTGTCTTTCAACTACCCAGTCCTATAAAATGTGCTGTATCTGCTTTTTTTCTTATGTGCAGTATTTTATTATCTTTGATGTTAAGATCAAATTCTTTCATAGAGCCCTGTGGGCTTAAACTTCATCTTCTGTTTCTGAACTGTGTTGCTACCTGAATTTGTCTGGTGCTTTGAGAGCCTTTCTACATTGATAAAAAAATTTGTCTATGTTGTACCTAGGTGGGTAGCTTGAATGCAGAACTACTTTAGCTTCTGATGTTTTCTATCTTGTGCTAAGGTTTCTGTTCTTTCTTGTATTGTTATATAAATTAGCTTATATGAATTAGCTAAGAGTAAGTTTGTATAGGCACTCTTCCCAGTATGCTTTCTTTTTGAGTCATGATACAAAAATAAAAATCTTGGGCATCATATTCTACATTTAAATTGTGCTACTTCCAAGATCTCTCTTAAAGGTTTTAATACTTAATATTTTTCAAACTGGGTATGGCAATAAAATGATACGCACTAGAATTTCTAGAAAGTAAGATATATAAATTCTAGTTCTTGAGCAGCCTTTTTTACTAGTTTTTTCATGTGGAACTTGACTGGAGGGAAACATAAGAGAAAGTGTGCTTAGTAGAAAGGTTACCTCAGCATTCTGAAGAGGAAATGCGTCTGAATCAAAACTATTTATTGCTTTTGAGGTGATTTATATATGATGCCTTAATAACTATAGCAGTTAACTTTACCATGAGTTTGAAAAGAAAGTTCTTGTGTTCTTATTTGTCAGTGACTGAAAGAAAGTTTTGAACATTAAGTTCAACAACATGTAGAATCTGCTGACAAGGAAGGGTGGTTGGCTGGGGAAACTTGTTTTATGGGTCCTTCCAGTGGCATGTATTTCAACACATATGTTTTCTGTGAAGATGACCCAAGGTCCCTATAATTATCTAGTCCAACAAGTGCAAAAGTGACTAATGCTTTTACTGCAGTTTGCCTCCAAGGATAGACAAAGGAGATTCTGTTCTGATTTAAAAAAAGTAGGTCATACAAATTTTTGTCTAAGGACAGCTTCTTTCTTTTTCTTTTTTCTCCACTCCCTTGCCCCTGTCAAGGGGGCACATTTAAGCACCAGTTTGGATTAAGTACTTTGAAGTAATTTTAGAATTGGTTTTGTAATTCCAAGATAGGTGTGGAGGGTAATTTTGATGGGGCAAGTATTCTTTAAATTTTACAGTAGCTCAGTAACATCACAAAATAATATCTATAATAATGATTTGAGAAATGACACAATCCCTAAGTGTGCATCAGAAGACTTTCATAGATTGTTTCTTTAAAAATGAGTTATTATTTGTGAATCACTCCCCGGTTTCTACCTGGACACTGAAGCTATTCCATGTGTTTAACTTACAGTGAATTTGGTTCAAAAATAATCTCACTGAAGCCAATCATCAAAGTATTGCCAAAACTTTTTGAATCTCGGGAAAAGGCTGTTCGAGATGAAGCCAAGCTCCTTGCTGTGGAGATCTACCGTTGGATAAGGGATGCTTTGAGACCTCCATTGCAGAACATAAATTCTGTTCAGGTAGGCAGAAAGGCACATGTTTGATAGAACACTTCCATGCTCACCCTCCCTGATTCTGTAGTGTTGGACCTTCTTAAAGCTGGAATGTATTTTTTAGCTTCCTGTAACTTTACCCAAAATGTTAGTCACTCTTTGTAAGGAAATTGTAACAATGTTTTGTTGCTCTGAGCATCCTATTGAAACTGAGGAGTGGAATTGAGTAGTAGAATGGTTGCCCTATAAAAGACCCTGCACTGAAAGTCTTTAAGTCAACCATTATCATTCTTGATTTTCTTTTTTACCAAAGTGCATCCCTTCATACTTGTTGTGATGGTGTTCAGGGTGTGACTGTTCCATTTCAGGAAGTGGCATTGCATTATGATAGAACATTCCATTGTTTTAAAACTTTATAAATTATGCATCCTTCCTTCCTACCCACTTTAGTTAATAGTGTTCAGGTGGAAAACAGTAGCTTGCTGTAAAAATGCATGGTTATAAAAACCTACACTGTTTCATCAAAAGTAGCTGAGCATGTTTGTTTCATCTTAGTTTTAGTGTGCAATAATAGCATGGCCGTAATGGAGATCTTCCTTCATGCTCAGCCATTTTTGTTTCAAAGCCTCTACAGAGGGACCACACCATTCTGACTGTTCTAGAATTGGTTCCTAGGTAAATGTTTTGCATTGATAGTATTCTGTTCTGTGGTTATACTTAGACAAAAATCTTCTGAACAGTGAATGTGAAGGGGAAGTTACTCCTTTAATGGCAAAAAAAGAACTTAAAGGTAGTGCTGTCTTGGCTTGGAGATGGGAAAAATGTAGTGAGTTGCTTGTGTTCGAGTATGTGCATAATGTCTCCAATATGATGATTCTTTTCCCTTTCGACAGCTAAAAGAACTGGAAGAAGAGTGGATCAAAGTGTCATCAGCTGTTCCTAGGCAGACCAGGTTCCTACGTTCCCAACAGGAGCTGAAGGCAAAGTTTGAGCAGCAGCAGGCAGTTGGAGGGGATGCAGATGGAGGTAAACTGTTTAATTTCTGAACTCCATTGAAAAGTATATTACTGGTATACAGATTGTGAAGGAATGTGTTAAATTGTAAAGGAGCTTTTACTCAGACTGGTGCAAAACGTACAGGGTGCACTACACAAGACATGTCTGGGACAGAAGCTTGATATGAAATAATATCTGTCCTTCAAAATAGCAAAATCACAACGGCTGACAGCACTTTCTGAACAATGAGCCTTAGGTGGTGCTCTAGTCAAAATTTTGCGTCGCTTTGCTTATACTTTTCTCTCCTGGTTGCAGGAGGTGATGATGAGGAAGAGACGGTACCACAAGTAGATGCATATGAGTTGCTTGAAGCTGTAGAAATTCTTTCCAAGCTTCCCAAAGACTTCTATGAGAAAATAGTAAGCATAAACTTAAATACTACCTGTTAATTCTATGACGTGGAGCTGATGAGTCTTAAGACTTACAGACATTCTGCAATGTAGGCTTTAGTGCTGCATGGGTAATAACAAGCTGGTCTAAGTGAAATATACACTCATAAATGAGTCTCACAATTGAGTCTTAGCAGCAAGAAAGAAGTAATTTTAAGAAGCTGAGATATGTCCTGGGAAAGGACTGGAATTTGTATTTCATTGCAATTGCTGATGTTGCAGGGAGATCTTGGTTTTCTCAGGATGGAATTAAAATCTTTCATCTATGGTTTGGGGCAAGTATGCTTCTCTAGAACTGTTTACATTTATAGGTTAATGTAAATTATTTGCTCTACAGGAAGCAAAAAAGTGGCAAGAAAGGAAAGAAGCTCTAGAGGCTGTTGAACTATTAGTGAAAAATCCAAAGTTGGAATCAGGAGACTATGCAGACTTGGTGAAAGTTCTCAAAAAGGTAATAAATAAAACCCGGAGTGCTCATATATATATTAATATTTTTTGTAATTAATTTGTATTATAGTTTAAAAGTTACAGTTGAGGCAGTACTCCTGAGTAGAAAATTATTAGCCGGAATAGTGGTGGAAATAACCCAATCTGTGGCCCACCAGCTATGTGGAGAAATTCTTCCATGTCTCTAAAACTTGGGTTTTCAGTCTTTAACATTGTTTGTTTGGTTTTTTTCTGTTCAGGTTGTTGGAAAGGATACAAATGTTATGTTAGTAGCTTTGGCTGCCAAATGCCTTGCTGGACTAGCTACTGGCCTCCGAAAGAAATTTGGACAGTATGCAGGGCATGTAAGTAAGAGTATGTACTTTTTTCTGATTTTATTGATGCTGGACACCTTTTTTTCTTTTGGTACTTTCAAAGGTATTCTTAATACAATTATGAATGCTTACCTACCCCTTAAAGGAGCAAGCACTGAAATACCTGCCAAGGTCTTTGCGGCTTAAGTTTGAAAGGACCTTCTTTATTCATATCCAGCAACATGAAGTTTTCTATTGCAATATAAATCTTCTGTACTAAGAAAATTCTGAATTATTCTGCCATGAAATGAACTTTATTTACTTTACTTCATCCTCGAGATACACCCACAGAAATGCATTTTTAGGCCTCAGTGGAAAAAATAGCTTCTGAATCAGAGTTCTACTTAGCAGCTCTGTGGCCTGTGTTTTATGTTGGTTTGATTTTTTTGAATGCTGGGGGAGGTAGGTGGTGGGTGTTTTGTTTCTTTGTTGTCTGGTTTTTGTTTGGTTTTTGGTTTTGGTTTTTTGTTGGGTTTTTTTGTTAGGTGTTTGGGGGTTTTTTTGTCTGCTTTAGGTAGCCAAAACTTCTGAGGTTTTTGGTACCAAAATGTTCTGGTCATCTAATGGTAGTGCTCTTTGTTCTCCTTTGCTGCTCATCTCTTACCAACAACTAATATCAGGGAATACAGGAAAGCTTACAAACGAAGGGAGCTTTTATAAGTTGCAGTTCTCACTTGTTTCTCAAGCCTCTGTTACTGTGTTCTTAAGCTGCTCAATCAAATTTTTCATGTGATAAGCAAGAGTGATGGAGTTAAGAGCTTAGAGACAGAGAGAACTGATGTTCCTGGCTGCTGGTAGTGTTTGTATTTGAATTGGGAAGTTACTGAATTTCACTGCTTCAGAAACATCCAAGTCTCCTGAACTCTGAACAGCAGTTTAGACACTCTTTGTGATTCTGAAAGCTGTCTGTAGTAGTAAGAAACATTCTCTACATCTGTTTACACTTGATTTCTAATGGTTAATCCTCATAGCTACAGTTAGTATTGAAAAAAGCCAAGCTTCTAAAATAAGGGTGTCGCTGTGGTTGCCAAGCAAATGGCATTGAGAAGATGACTTTGTCAGTACTGTAATGGCAGCTATGAAGTACATGATCTCAGTACTCATTTTGCAGTTCACTTTGTTTGTTTGCTGGATTTATTTACTTGTGAGGAAGATGTAGACTTCTCCTGAGAGTGGGCATTGAAGTGTTATAAAACTGAATTGTTGCTACAATTGTGGGATTATTATGAACTGTATTAGTTAAATATAGGACTGCAATGGTAGTCTGCAGTCTGTGCTCAAACAAGAGATGAAATCATGAATAGAATCATACTGCTCACTGTAATTGGGTGCCTCAGCTTCACCTCTGACTGCATTTGTAGCCCTGGACTGTCTTTTCTTCCCTTCCTCTCACATGGGACACAGCTTCTAAGTACTCATTCTGGCTGTTAGCTTTTCTAAAATAGCAGCTTAATGATTTTAAATATCTCCTTTTTTTGACTTTATTCTCTGTAGGGTTTAGGGGTGTCTAGCATCTGCAATAGCAAGTATAAGGGCCTTTACGGTGCTGTCTATGTCAACTGAAGTTTTTTGAGTGCTGAAGTCTCTGAACAGGGAATTTGGAAGCTGCAGCCCAAGAAAGTATACCACCTGAGCTTAGTCACTGTGTGTTACAGGGGCTTGAGATCACATAGTTGGCTTCTGAGGAGAAAGCAAATCTATTTTGTGTTATGCAAGAGCTTATAACTTCTGTAAGGCACTCAACTGCTTCCAAGCTATGAACTGTGTTACATTTATGAAAATCTTGAAAATAGCCTGCCTTCCACAGTTAAGATATGTGTGTTTCTGGCTCATGACAGAAGTTGTTACTGTTATGGAGACCATACTTTAATGGACCTGCTCATATTACTGGCAAATGAGAACGTCTGCTGAATAGTTATTTTTATTTTTTTTTCTCCTTGAATATTTTATTTGTTTGTTTTTCTACAGTGACTGACTGAGCACCTACATTAGGTAGAAATTGCTGTCTAACTCCAGTATGTCATAGTTTAGTGTCAGGTGTGCTTTTACAAGGTGATAGGTATGAAAAATATTTCTGCAGAGGATTCGCTTTGATTTAGAATCATGGTCTTGTCAACTATGGGTCAGATGAGGACTTCTCGATGAACCATGTCTAGGGCTGTCAGAAAGCTGGGAAAGAGAGGACAGGTTATGCCTTCTTGGATTCTTATAGTAAAAGAGCACAGTACTTCTGTGTTGTGAAATTGTTTATTTCCATTCTATTGCTCTGTATTCCAGACCAGTAGAGCTGGAGCATTAATCTGTAATTATATGGACTTGTATGTCCACCTTCTGTTTAGTTGTACTATGAAATTTTTAACAAAATCTTTATCTGTTAGTAGTGACTAAAATAAATTTAGTATTGGAGATCCACTAGAATAAACTAGTTCATTCTGCTGTTGTGTAGCCCTGGAGGGAGACAGCAATGATGTTTGAATTACTGGCTTCTCTGCAAAGTACCAGGGAGCAGACTCTCAGGCTCTGCAGTTATATTAGCGAAGAGGGGATTGATGTTTTTGTTTGTTTCCCTACTCCATAGGTTGTTCCAACAATCCTGGAGAAATTTAAAGAGAAGAAACCTCAGGTAGTGCAGGCACTTCAGGAGGCCATTGATGCAATCTTTCTTACAGTAAGTAAGAGTGGAAATTTTCCCATTGTCTGAGAATTGGTCTCTGATTTGCTGTTGTCTTTACTGAAACTAATTGCTTGTTTATTCAACATTGTAGACCACACTGCAGAACCTAAGTGAAGATATTTTGGCAGTCATGGACAACAAAAACCCAACAATTAAGCAACAAACATCCCTTTTCATTGCAAGAAGCTTCCGACACTGCACACCTTCTACTCTACCAAAAAGCCTGTTAAAACCTTTCTGTGCTGCACTTCTCAAGGTAAGGCAGGAAGAGTTGATACTTCTCTGTTAGTGACTTGAGCACTGTTGTTCTGAAGCATTGGATTGTTCTGGGATAAGGACCCTTCTGGTAGTGCAAGGAGTAGTGCTACATAGTCCTCAGAGTCAGTTTTGACTGATGTCGAACTTGAAGGTGGCTGTCAGTCAAGGGAACAATTTAATTTCCTTTTTCTTAGCTTTTCTGAAGCTGTAGACTCACTAAGTTTGTAATAGGTTAAGACAGTGATTTGCAACTATTAAACTTCCAGACACTTGCTTCTTGCAGACATTTCTAACAAGTTTTTCTTGGAATGCTACATACCACTTACTGTGTGTAAAAGAACCATTGATTCATACACAACATTTACACTGGAGCATTTACCAATGTAAATGATAATTATACATACTTTTTTCTTATTGCAAAATAGTCCTTTCCTTGTTATGGGAGATTTCCCTGGCTTAAAAAATGGAGATTCGAACAAGGCTGCAGAACTTTTAACTGCTTGTGAACTTTCATGGTGTGTCAGTATCAAAGCATGAATGTTTAACCTCTTCTTGTGTGAAAGGCCCAAAAATGGGAACATGACTGTGTCTTAGAAACTGTAGACTTGGTCAGTACATAGGAAAACCTTTTTCTTTCTGCAGTGGAGTGTTAAGGATTACTCTGTAGTAGATGTAGATTTTAAAAAAGGGGAGAGGATTTATGTAGAAGATATTTAGATATGAACTGCAAGTCACATGACACAAGTTGTCTTTCTCTGCAGCATATCAATGATTCTGCTCCTGAAGTAAGAGATGCTGGATTTGAAGCATTAGGCACTGCCTTGAAGGTGGCTGGAGAAAAAGCTGTGAATCCTTTTCTAGCAGATGTAGACAAACTAAAGCTTGATCGGGTGAGTGTTGTTATAAATGTTGTAAAAAAAGGCTCCATATTTATCCATTTAAGATGCATCTTAGGCTAGAGAAGATGAAAGAGGATGCTTTAGCCTAGTGACTTCTAACAAAGATTTTTTTAAATTTATTTTTTACTTAAATACTACTGATGTTGAAGGGAATCTGAAAATCTTATTTCTTCTAGGTTATCAAGCTTTTTACTTCTCCTTAAAATGCACTAATACTTGTCACATTGCACCTTATTCTTAAGTTAATTGTGTTAAGTATCTGTTTGTTTTCAAGGCTGTATTATCTATGAGTGGGTTGTGAGATTTGGTTGTGGTTTTGGTTGGTTGTATGTGGGGCTTTGTTTTTGAACACTTTGTCTGTTGCCTGAAACAGGGTTTTAGGTCACAATCATATTACTAGACAGGATTTGGTATTAAAGAATTACTTTCCAACAACTTTGTTGCTGGAACTTTTGCATAAGCTGACAGGTGTGTTGACTGAATGAAGATTTTGTAATTTAAGGTGCTAAAAATTAGTCTTCAGAGTATCTCTAAATATCAGTAGGATGTCAATGCTCTCTCTGTGTAGAAATGCACTTCATTTTGAACTAGGAAAATTATTCTGGCAATACGGTCATGGCTGATGCCATTGACTGGTTAACTTTGCTATTGTAAGGAATACAGGATAACAATTTTGTGAAGTAAACAACTTGAACTTCTCACATTTTTTCCAGAGTAATCAAGTTTGAAACACAGCTGGTGAAGGGACACTGTACATCCAATTGTCTTAGCTAAATAGCTTCTCACCCCTCCCCTTTTCTTTTCCTGCTGCTTGGCAGATTAAAGAGTGCGCTGAGAAGGTAGAACTGGTTTATGGTAAAAAGACAGGAGGAGCTGCTGAGAAAAGAGAAGGCAAGCCTGTTGCTGGAAAGACTGCTGCTCTTCCAGGGCCTGGAGCAGATAAAGAAACAAAAGATGCAGCAACTAAAGCAGGACCACTGAAAAAAGCATCCGCTGTGAAGGTAGGAGATTATCTGTGATTGCATCAAATAGTTACTGTAGATCGAGGGTGGACTGTTGAACATCCCCTTCTGCTGAAGTATCACTGTCCTTTTGCAGGAGTAGGTGAGCCTGTCAGCAAAAATAATTTGGGACTTTCTGAGAATGTATCTGATGAAATGTCAGTTTTTAATGATACAAACTGTATTGTCACTTAGGTCTTAATACCAGGTTTTGATTTTGAAATAGTGATAAACCACTGGAGGCATTCAGAGGAGCCTCAGATGTTGTAACATTGATGTGCTCTCTGGTGATATAGTAATACTTGGCTGAAGTCAACATCTCTTCTTGTAACTAGCAAGGTTACTAATTAAGTACTGAGTATTCAGCAACATTTTTAGTTTGTTCCTTTGTTTATTTTTAAATAACTTGAACCATTGACCTGTATTTCTTTAAAATTATTCTTTGGACTTTAAAAATTGACTTAAGTAGCACCATAGGTGGTCTTTGTAATATGCTACTTAGTTCTCCCTGTGGGTTCCCCAGAAGTGACTAGTGGAATAAATCACGTTTTTTGAAATCTATTGATACTCTGGTAACCTGGGAAAGAGAACCAGTTACAAGTTTATATTCTCCTATGGATACTGATTAGATATTATAGATAAATTTATTATTTTCTGAACCTCACAAATACATACATCCTTTCCCATTTCATCCTTCATTGTTTTGTGCATCCCTGTTTTTACCGTATGTGTTTGCTAAAACCTGTAGTCTGAAAGCAACATTAAATTAAATAAGCTTTAGCAGAAAACTGTTTTGACTGTGGCTGTTATGCTACCAGAGAGGTATGTATTTTCTTGACATTAAAATATAGAAGTGTGGAAAAACAGCAGTTCTTTTTGATAGTCAAACTAGAGACATGTTTGATCTTGGCTAATTTATCCATTATCTTTCTAGTCTGGGGTCCCACCCAAGAAAGGCAAACCAGCTACAGCTGCAGGTGCAGGAGGTGCTGGGGCTAAAGGCAAGAAGGGTCCTGAGACCAAAGAAATATTTGAGTCAGAGCTATCTGTGAGTATTCTGCTGTTCTCTGAAATATGAAGTCCTCTGTGATTACAGTTTTGGTAATCAGTTCTGCAGCTACTATAAAATTTTTCACTGAAGTTGGAGGGGGGGAGAGTTTGGTGGTGGTGGGTTTTCTGTTTCACTTTGGGAATTTTTTGTTAGGAGAAGGGAAAGCGATATGGATAAATTCATAACTGGTGAAATGGATCTTTGGTAAATACAGTTGTTCTTCAGGCTGTTGTTGGTACCAGGCCATTTAAAACAGTAAGCAGTAAATCATGCTAATATAACAGGTTATATCATTGTCCCTGAACTAGGAAAAAATGAAAAAAGTAATGATGTGACTACTTCATATGTAATTTAGGACTCATGATTTGCTGAAGGTGTTTGGTATTAAAAGCCTGAGAATACATTCTTCTGGAATTTACATTAAAATCTGAAGTGAAATACAGTAATAATTAAATGAACTAATGCAAGTCTGTTCTGGGCTGTTCATATTACATTTCAAGTTACATTTCAAGAAAATGACTGAATTCTCCATGTTAGTTGAGCATTTACCTACCTTCTTGGTAGGGAACAAGGTAAGCTAAGGTATCTGTAGGTCAAACAGTAACAGAAAAAGCTATTAAAGCTCTGCTAGATGTATCTGCAAGTTTTTTGCACTGTGAGTTATGCTTAGAGTGTTGTTTAGAATAAATAATTTCCATTATGTGTCCAGGTTATATTGCTAGTTATGCAGTGGACAAAAAGTATACAGTTCCTGAAGGTGATACAGACACCAGTGAAACAAGGGAAGTTATTTAGTAATAAAAACTTTAATTTTCCATTTTCCTAAAATGGAGGCAGATGGTGTCTTTTTCTCATCTACCCTCATCAGCTACTGATTCATTGCTGTCAGTGTTTATTCAGACTTGATACAAAATTATCTTGCAGATTTTAGCTTACCTCTGCTTGATTCTATAACTAGATAGTGGGTATTCCAGATTATTTTTGACTGTGTGCACAATTTATCATCCTTTTCAGAGATTACCTTTCTCTTGCAGTACGATTTAGCAGCTTCCTAAACCCATAAGGCCCCTAAACTGTAAGCCATACAAAATCTTTCAACCTACAACAGAAGCATTTTCATATTTTGTAAATGCACTACAGTACAAGGGTCATTCCAGTCTATCACCTGTCCTTAAGGCTGCTGCCCTCCTGAAAGGATACAGTGGGGTGTTAACCTTGTTCTCATCTGTCTGCAGATGGAAGTATGTGAAGAGAAAGCTGCTGCTGTCCTTCCAGCTTCTTGTATTCAGCAGTTGGACAGTGGTAACTGGAAAGAGAGGCTTGCCTGCATGGAGGAGTTTCAGAAGGTAAGTGTGTAACAGCTGGTAAGAAGAGAGACAAGTAGGAAAAGCAAAAGCGAGTAATAATTTCTTCAAATCTTTAGGCCTGGTAACTCTCCTGAAAGACATGCTGGTAGTAGTGGGATGTCAGCACTTCAGATGGATTAAGCAATACTCGTAAAAGCCACGTGCCTTATTATGGTTTAAGTTCCATAACAACAGTGGAATGAATATTTTAGGTTGATGGAGATAGTTACGCTTTAGTCAAAAATACTTGTATTTTGATTGAGGATTCTTAGAGGTCTTTTTAAAACTCCAAATAATTCTAAAGCTTGATCTCAAAGATAGCTAGCTTTAAACAAAAGGTTTTGCAATGAATAGGCTAAATCTGTTGCAAATAAGTTCCTGCTTTTTGCGTGTTAGGCAGCAATTGATTATAATTAAAAATTTCAACTGGTAAATAGTTCGTGTTTGGAGCCTTACACAATACTAACAATCATCACAGTGGTGGAGAGTGCTTCATGTAGTCACAAACAAAAAAAGCATGACATCTCACTCAAATGGTATCCATCAGAAGACCTTTGAGAGTTCAAATTCAAAAAGGCTTCGACTGTAGATGTACAAGTAGTTCATAGCATTACACCATTACAGTTGTGACTGAATGTTAATAATTTAGTAGAAGTGGCTGGCTTCAGTTAGGAAATGGTGACTGGCTGCAATGAAATGCTGCTGCAGAAGCCAGTTTTATTCAAATGTAAAGATATAGCAGTTTCAGTTGAATGAATAAGCCTAACAAGTAGAAAACAGTAATTTAGATTACATTCAGACTGAATCTCTGCTGTGTGGTCAGCATTCCAATGTGAAAGGTGCAGAATATATTTAATCTTAAAAAACAAAAATATCTTTTTGAGGGATGGGTGGGTTGTTTGGGGGTTTTTGTTTGTTTTTAGTTAAGTGTTAAATTCTTAGGGCTGGAATGGCCAATAGTGGTCATTAAGGACATTTGTTAAAGAACATATAAAGTGTAGTGATGCAAATGCTATAGTTTAAATGTTGGCTCAGTCCCTGTAAATGGGCTCCTTGTAAAAGTGGGTCTTGTAGTAAGGCTCTTGAGGTAAATTCTTACGCTGAGAATTTCTGCAACTTAATTCAGTATTAAGAAAATATTTAGAGGACAGTCGAGAACTTCTATTTGAGTTTTGTATAATTTTTGACCCACTGGCTAACTTAATGTTTATCTGTTAGGCTGTTGAGCTTATGGAGAGAAGTGAAATGCCTTGCCAAGCTCTAGTAAGAATGCTGGCCAAGAAACCTGGTTGGAAGGAAACGAATTTTCAGGTAATACATTATCCTTCAGTAACTAACAGCTCATTTTTTTGTTACTTAACGTGAGCTATTTTTCCAACTAAAAGGCTGTAGGTGCGTATGTCGTTGGTGATAGTCATAGCACCATGGCCACAGTTCTATCTGTAGTCAGTGAGACATATAAACTCTGAAATTAAGTTTTATTTCTGCTGACAGTTGAGACTTGGATATCTTCAAATATTCTCTGGATGTATGTACATACATGTGTGTGAATTTACATGTGTGTGTATATATAAGTTCTAAAAGTAGATAACGGCTGCCAAATGTTATTGTGTATATATAAATATAACAATATGCATTTGCATGTGCACACAAATTTTTGTGCATAATCACACAAAAACAAATATGTGTGCATATAAAATGTCTGTATACATTTGCGTTTATCCCCAAATACATCTAATTTTTATATGTATCTATAGGTAGATAGAATTAAAAAATCACTCTAAAATACACAAAGACATGAGTAACTTTCTTGCTGTTGTGGACATTCCAGGTGATGCAAATGAAGCTGCATATAGTTGCATTGATTGCACAAAAAGGAAACTTCTCCAAAACTTCAGCACAGGTTGTGCTGGATGGTCTTGTAGACAAGGTCGGCGATGTGAAATGTGGGAGTAATGCAAAAGAAGCCATGACAGCAATAGCAGAAGCATGTCAGTTGCCATGGACTGCTGAGCAGGTGAGTAAGCAGTGTCCTTTCCATCTGCGGAGTAAATCCTAAATCTTTGATTTTTCTCTGTTGCTTGAAAGTTATTTGTTTGTGAGAGAGCTTGTGAGGTAGAAGAAGGTATGTTACTCCAAAAGCAGAAATAGAATCATAGAATGGTTTGAGTTGGAAGGGACCTTAAAGGTCATTTAAGTCCACACTCCCCTGCCATGGGCAGTGACACCTTCCACTAGACCAGGTTGCTCAAAGCCCCATCCAACCTGGCCTTGTACATTTCCAGGAATGGGGCATTCACAATTTCCCTTTCAGTTTAAAACTGTTCCCCTTTGTCCTATCAATACATGCTCTTGTCAAGAATTTTCTTGTAGGCCCCCTTCAAGTACTGAAAGGCTGCAAATAAGATCACCCTGGAGCCTTTTCTTCTTCAGGCAGAACTATTCCAATTCTGTCAGTGTTTCCTCATAGGAGAGGTACTCCATCCTTCTAATCATCTTGGTGGCTCTTCTCTGGAGTTGCTTCATCAGGTCTGTGTCCTTCCTGTGCTGGGGACCCCAGAGCTGGATGCAGTGCTCCAGGTGGGGTCTCAGAAGACCAGCTAGAAGGGAAGAATAACTTCCCTTGACCTACTGGCCACGCTGCTTTTGAGGCAGCCCAAGACGTGACTGGCTTTCTGGGATGAACATGCACATTACCAGTTCATGTCTAGCCTCTTGTCCACCAACACCTCTAGGTCTTCTTGGTCAGGGTTGCATTCTTACTCTTTCTCTCCCCCTCAGCTACTACTGATACCACGGGTTGCCCTGACCCAGGTGCAGCATCTTGCACTTGGCTTTGTTGAACCTCATGAAGTTACTATGGACCCACTTCTTGAGCTTGCCCAGGTCCCTCTGGTGGCATCCCATCTTTAAGGCATGTTGATTGCACCACGCAACATGGTTCATCTCAAACTTGCTGAGGGTGAACTCAGTCCCTTTGTGTGGTTGATGAAACCATTAAGTAGCATTGGTCCCAGTACAGACCCCTGAGGGACACCACTCCTCACTGATTCCATCAGGACCCTGAGCCGTTGGCCACTACCCTGTGGATGCAGCTGTTCAACCAATACCTTATCCACAACAGTCCACTCATCAAATCCATCTCTCTGCAATTTAGAAGCCTGTTGTGGGGGATCATGTCAAAGACCTTACAGAAGTTCAGATAGATGGCATCTGTAACTCCACTAATGTAGTCACTCCATCATAGAAGGCCTTCTATGGTGGTTGGTCAGGCAGGACTTGCTCTTGGTGAAGCTGTGCTGGCCGTCTCAGTCACCTCCTTGTCCTCCATGTGCCTTAGCACACATCTAGGAGGATGTGTTCAATGATCTTCCAACATCAGGAAAAAGGAGTAATTCACTAGTATCTCTTTTAATACTGCCAGAGTGGTCTGTAATAAAGGTGTCTCTGGCTGCCTTTAAGTACGTCAGGAACTTGTGGTTCACTTTGGTTCCAATTGTTTTCTACCACAGCAATACAATTGCTTTTTCCTCCGATGTTAGTCCAACCTTTTCTGTTCACTTGCAGTGCCCTGTGTTTTTTGCAGGTGTCTTTGTTATTACAATGCTTTGTCATCTGGTTTGTCAGTGAAAATTTATACCTAACTCTCTTCTGTTCCAGGTTGTGGCTACGGCTTTCTCTCAGAAGAATCCTAAAAACCAGTCAGAAACTTTGAACTGGCTTTCAAATGCAATTAAAGAGTTTGGCTTTTCTGGGTAAGTCTTTTAAGTAAAATGCTAAGAGACACTCTAATGAAAATATTTGTAATCTAGGACTAAGATTCTCTTCATCTGAACTCTTGTTCCTTAAACTCTGATGCCAGCCATCAGGTGCTCTTCTAGCTCTAATTGTGTAAATGAAAGTATCTGACATTATTAGTGGAATGGGATGTGATTACATTACAAGATCACTTGACCTTCTCTGAGGAGCATTTTTCTTAAACTTAAGGTACTACCTGTGTGGGCTGGGCAAGGAGCTGTAGCATTGCATTTCTGTTGTACTGTTTGGATACACACTTGCACCCAGGTGGTTCACTATGTTTTATAGTTTAAAAAAAAAACCAAAACCAAATCTGACAGCTACAGAAGAGTGCTTGTTACTCTCCAGAGAGACATTTTGATGCTGATAACAGGGTGAAGATTTAGCCAACACAATAGCAGTTATGTCTGCCTCTGTGAGGGTAAGAAATGGGTTCTCTGTCAGAACCAGGGATAGTATTCTTAAATTTTTATTGATTTCTTAACTGAATGTGATCAAGCATACCTAATACAGTGTACTGTTGAGAAGAAAATTTCTAAGCAGTGAAGACTTCAAGTATCAATTTGACTAATTGGGCAGTTACAATGCCTGTCTTAAGGTATTTTGCAGCTATTAAATGGATAAGTCTGGAAAGTAAACTCTTTTCTTTGGCAAATTCCTCAAAAAGTATGTATTTACAGCAGGATAACCTGTGTGTAGATATGCTACTAGAACAACACTGTTTGAGGCTACACAGATGGTATAGAAGGTTCAGAAATCTAAACCTTCCTTTATTTCTCCTGCAAATTTACTTTTCATATTCATGCCTTTTTCTGGAAGATCCTGAGCCTGACTAACAAAACAAAAAAACCCTCCACAATAACAGTAAACCCTCCCCTTTATTATGTAGCCATGTTTCAGGTGCTTAAAATTATTCTAAATTCTTTCATCAATATTTCACTCCTAGCAGTTATGTAGCAGGTGATGTAATTTAAGGAACTTTCTAGCTGTAATAATAGGTGGCTTTGATATAGATTATCATATGTTTACTGTATTGATTTTCATACATAGGCTATTCTCCAAACTACTCTCTTTCAGTAGTTATTTAAATAGCTACTATCTACACTATACCTGTGATGATATTTTATAGGTGCAAATATCTTCTTCACATAAGCAAGTAGTATAAATCTGTCTCCAGGTATTTTTTTTTCTTTAACATGTTGTGATGATTTTATTTGTTGTTGGTGTTTCCTGTGTTGCATTTTGTTTATGGCAGAAATCTTTCTCCCACAGACTGAATGTCAAAGCTTTCATCAGTAACGTGAAGACAGCTCTTGCTGCAACTAACCCAGTGAGTAAATTTAGAATATTAATCCTGAATTATTATCAGTCCTTAAACTGAAGACTTGAGTGTTTTTGTCCTTTTTCTGGCAGGCTGTGAGGACTTCTGCCATTACGTTGCTGGGAGTAATGTATCTTTATGTGGGACCTCCTCTGCGAATGTTTTTTGAGGATGAGAAGCCAGCCCTTCTCTCCCAGATAGATGCAGAATTTGAAAAGGTATGAAGTGTAGCTCTCTTACTAGCAAGTATCATTAAAACTACTTTAAGACTTCAATAGCTGAAATCTGTAGTAATATTATGGTCTAACCCGTGTTTTTGTAAGTGAACCAGATTTTTTAAGGCAGTGCATGAAAGCTGCATGTCCTTATGTCAATAGTCATTACAAACTTCAAAAGTTCCTAGTTTTGTTTGAATAGCATAATGTTTTAGAAATCTCTCTTCCTGAGCCAGTGCATTTGTATCATGCAAGGGGTTTTATTTTTAAGGTCAAATGAAAAATTGTAAAATAACTGTTTCTGATTTTTGCTTTGCTTGCAGATGCAAGGCCAGACAGCACCAACTCCAACTCGTGGCATTTCCAGGCACAGTGCAGGAGGTGGGGATGATGCTGAGGAAGAAGAACAAGAGGAAGTTGGGAATGATGTTGTGGATCTCTTGCCAAGAACAGATATTGGGTAGGTTTGGATTCTGCAGCCTGAAGACCTACTTTCACTGCAATTCAAAACTTTGTGTTTATAAACTTCATAAGCAGAAATCTGTGGTATTGAAGCACTCGAGTACCAATAGATAGATAACTAAGAAAGTGGGCTTTTTACCTGTTTTTCTCCTGCAGTGATAAGATCACAGCTGAACTAGTGTCTAAGATTGGGGATAAAAACTGGAAGATCAGAAAAGAAGGTCTAGATGAAGTGACAAGCATATTAAATGAAGCAAAGTTCATACATCCAAACATAGGAGAACTTCCAGCTGCTCTGAAGAATCGTCTCAATGACTCCAATAAAATCTTGGTATGTTTTCCAAAATCCAGTTTCAGCTGTTTCCAGCTTAGAACTTCAGTTATTTATGATTTCTGAACCTTGCTTAGTACTTGGTCTGTTACAATGTCATGAAATCAACAACTGGAAAACAGTGTATTGTATGTTTCTAGATCATATATTTGCCTATTTTTATAAATATTTGCCTTTCTTTTTATTTAAAAAAGCCTTTCAAAAAAGGAAAATCTGTCTTTACTCTGAGTGTAGTGTAAGCAAGTCTTCAAATAAGTTTGAGTAATTGCTTCACTTTTGACAAAAGTGAATTGTCTGTTGTTAAAATATTTTTAGTTGAAATTTAATTTGCTCAGAATATGGAAGTATTTTTTATTTATTTGTGTGATGAATTTGAAGTCTGGAATAGGTGTCATTAAGCAGGCATTCTAAAGTAAAAATCTAGTGTTTTAGTAAAGTCAAAAAAAAAGTAAAAACCAGCAGCGCTGCTTTTCCCCATATAACTTGGAGGTTTTGTAGACATACTTGTAACACTGTTTTCTTTAAACCCTTTTTTTCTTTATGTGCAGGTGCAACAAACACTGAGCATTCTTCAGCAGCTAGCAACAGCAATGGGTCCCAATATCAAACAGCATGTGAAAAATTTGGGGATTCCTGTCATTACAGTCCTAGGAGATAGTAAGGTAGGACAGTCGTCAAGATCTCTTTACCTTTTTGCATATCTGATCTATGTCTGAAAGTAACTGTTGCTATTTAGACTTGATTTTAAGAGGTGGATGGCAGTTTAAACTTTCTTTGGAAGCTTACACATTTTTTGAAAAGTTCTTGCCTGAATGACAACATATTATCCAAATATGAATTTGTACCTGAATATATATTCTACTTGAGGTGTGGTCTCCTGCTTGTAACTAAACCCAGTCAGTGTCATAATTTGGCTTTTAAATGAAACATGGTGAGTGTATGATATTTTCTAAGGCTGCAAGTACACTACCTTAGGCACTAAGCCAGTTTGCTTGGTAAAGGTGCTTTTAGTGTATCACTGTGGATCCCAGTATACGTTGTTATTGTCTTTTCACTGTGTAGGAGACCTGTAGGTAGACACAGGACACTCACAACTGACACTGAAGCTTGTATAATGTCAGTGTCGAGCTTGTTAGGATGCTATGTCAAGATCAGAGCTAGGGCCATGGGAAAGAGCAAATTTGAAGTAGTGGAGGAAAGAAGTTTGGGAAGGTGCTGATGTCTTGGGGTCACAGGCAGTTATCAGAGGTGGCATACTTCAGCTGTCTCTACTCTGAATGTGAGTAGGAAAACGAACAGAAGCTGGCTCTGCCTGTCCCAAACAGTGGAGGACTAGGACTGGTCCTAGGGCTGGATAAAAAACTCCTGGTCACATTGTTTTGTCTTTGAGAGTCTTCAAGAACTGAGATTTTATGTGACTGTTGAATTCTTCTTTTGTTCACCAGTTATCTTGAGGTAACATCAAACTCCCTTTGCAGAGTCATAGAATTGTTTAGATGGTCTGTAGGGTTACCTTCCAACCTAGTTCCAACCCCACTGCCATGGGCAGACACCTTCCATTAGACCAGCTTGCTCAAAGCTATGCCTGGTGCTTCAGTTCAAAGTACATGGTTTAAGGATAAGACTAATTGTGATTAACTTAGTGTTGCTAAAATGAGTAATACCAATGTTACTTGTAAGAACTATAATGCTGACAGAAGATGGTATGTTCATTCAAATGTTTTTACAGTAGTATTCTTTTTAAGTACTGCAAGTGCAAGATTTAACTAGTTTATCAAAGTTATCCAGCTTTTGAGGTTGAGGATGGTCCTTTCTGCACCCTGCTTCAATATGTTTATAGTGGACCCACTGAATAATTGAGGAAAGCCAACAGCTTGTAGTATGAGTGAAGACAAATTAAATTTGGGTGATGGGGAACCAAGGTCTTGCCAGAGAGGCTGATGAGCATCTGTTTATCTGCAGCTCATGATTTGTTTCTTTTCCTCAATGAGACTGAAGATGGGCCAAGTTATTTGCAAGGATGCTCACTACTTATTTACATATATGCCTGAATGTTACCTCTACATTTAATATTGATTTATACTAAACATAAATGAATCTGTCACATTACCAGCTTTCCTCATAAATTCTGCCTGCAGTAGAGGATCATATTATATAGTCATGTCTACACTGATAACATTTTAAAGAACTGTGATTGTTAGGTATTCCATCTGGCTTCTCATAACTTTACATAGTTCTTTCAAAAAAGGGTGCTGTTCTAAATTTTGCTTGAAAAAAACCTAAATATGGAAATTGGTAGGAGTTAGAGGGTTTTCCCTGTTCCTGACTTGACTTTTGCTCATGTGTGTCCTAAATAAGAGTGCCCTAATAGCAGGCTCCGTAACCCACCTGCCTTGATTCATTGATGTGCTGTATGACAGATAAGTATAATGTCTGATTTGGTAATTGCTGCAGCTGATACCATCACTAAAACCAAATTCTTCCGAATCTTAGACTTCTCAAGCAGTGAATAAAAAAAGAGATTTCAACGCCCATGATGTGAAAGCTTTTTCCTTTCATAGGAAGGTTGATTGTTGCCTCTTCTATTGTAAACTTCTGACCCCTCTTTATGTTTATTCTTCTTAAATCTTGTTCTTGCTGCAGAATAATGTTCGTGCTGCTGCATTAGCAACTGTGAATGCCTGGGCTGAACAAACTGGCATGAAAGAGTGGTTGGAAGGGGAAGACCTGTCTGAGGAGCTCAAAAAAGAAAATCCTTTCCTAAGGCAAGAGGTAGGCTTCTGTCAAAAAAACTTCTTGTTTGTCTAATCAAAATAACCTTATGTTTTATGGATTGTTTATCTATGCAGACTGAAATGGCACAATACTACAATTGTATGAGAAAACAAGTAGGTGAGTCTCTGTACTGACATAAAATTGTTAAACCTCAAAAGGCTAATAACAAGCTTTCTTCCTGCATGATAGCTGTCATTCAGTGCCTCTAAAATGAAACTTTTGTCTGTTTTGATTAGCATTTTAAGTGCTAGTGTGTTTTCCCTCAAATTCACCATGGAACAGAACTGGAGTCATTAAAAAGAGCACATGGAATTCTGTTGCTTTCAAAAGCAACAACCTTTACAGTTTTAAGAGACTATGCTTCAAGTTTTAAGATAGATGTGTATTAACATATTGTACTCAACTTTTTATTTTTGTAATTGCTAACGTCAAAGTTGATGTTAGTTATGAATATTTGTCTGAAGAAAGTTTGTGGTGGGTTTTTCCTACTCACACAGAGTTGTGTGAGGGACTACTATTCAGTCTTGTGGCCTGACAGAGCAGTGTTAGCACTTCTTCAGAAGCTTTTATTTTAAAACTTTGTTTCAGCTTCTTGGTTGGTTGGCTGAGAAGTTGCCTACCCTCCGCTCTGTTCCTTCTGACCTACTCTTGTGCGTGCCTCACCTGTACTCCTGCCTTGAAGATCGAAACGGGGATGTGCGCAAAAAGGCACAGGATGCCCTGCCGTTCTTTATGATGCATCTTGGCTTTGAGAAGATGGCAAAAGCCACTGGCAAGCTGAAGGTATTTCTGTCACAAAGATTAGATAATGTGACCTTGAATGAGTGAATATGAACAAGTCACATTCACAGTCTCATGATATGCTGTCCTGAGTCATGTAAGCTTGTCTGCATCAAATATTTTCAGGGGGGCTGAAAACAGTATCAGGAGACTGTGAGTTAGAGCTTTCTCTACTTCAAAAATGATTACTGCCACTACAGGCTTATCACTTCAAGAACCTGATATTTATTCACTCTTCATTCCTTCTGGAAAAAAAAAAAATCTACCTGCAGAAAGCTTCCATACCAGTTACTGTCCCATTGTATGCTTTTGTACTCATACTTTCAGATGGCTTCTAGCAGTTTGGTCTGGCTTAGGAACCCTTGAGTGAAGAATAATTGTAGGGCACTCCATTGACTTCATAGGACCACTCACCTAGAACAGATTGCTGCTGCACATGTTTCCCATAGGACTTGCAGAAGAAACTTAATAAAAGGATGTTTTATCTCAGAACAAAAGTATCTGAGAACATTGATGTTTTAAGATAAGCATCCTGGAAAGTAGTAAACAGAGAATAGCTTGTTTTAAACTACTATTGTTTTCCTTGTCTGTGGCTAGTTTATTAGTAGATTAGTGGTAGTCATTGCTAAATTTATCACTTCTTTTTTTCCCTTTTTGTTCTCTAGCCAACTTCCAAAGACCAAGTACTGGCCATGCTTGAGAAAGCCAAAACCAACATGCCAGCCAAACCAGCTCCCCCTGCTAAATCATCTTCCAGAGTGGTAGGGGGAACAGCTCCAGCCAAATTCCAACCTGGGTCAGGTAACCTCTCTTATATTCTGGGAAACATCTGAGAAAAGGGTGGGTTTTGAAGCTTTTTGACATTCCAGAGGAAGAAACATACTTAACTGGAGAAGAGGAATTCAGCATAGTTAGGGTTACAAAGAACTGTGGAATCTAGTGAGTTCTGTCTGCAGTTCTGGCCTTTCTTGCAGTTGAATCAACTTCCAGTGTAGGAGGGTGCTTCCAGTGTAGTTGTGTCCTTTCCACACAACCATCTGTCAACTGCTATTTGAAAATATCTACTTGGTATTGAAGTTAAAACCCAGGGGCTGCAGGGGGAGGCTTTTAGTAATACTAATCTGATTTTAATATAATATGATTTTAAAATGTTTTCACATTATTTTTTATCTAGACTACTTCTTCAATGTAGTTTACTCTGGGACTACCAGATTGCTTGTGCTGATGCAAAAGAGGGTAATGGGATTAGGGGACAAGTGATTTGAAGAAGCAGTCCTGTCTTATTGCTCTGCTGGGGCTAGCTTGCCTGCTCAGACCAGGTGCAACTACAGCTCTAGACATTAGCCTGGAAAGTATGTGTCTGTGCATTTGTAAATTGTTTTGAAAATGACAAATTTGCTAACATAGTATGATATTAATTATGAGAACTTTGTATGCTAACATGGAATTTAAGGGACCTCCTCTGTGGGTCTAAAATCCTCAGACATCTGTGTAATAAATATATTGTATCCATGAACAGTTTTCTTCTGTTCTTAGAACAGAAAATTGATAACCTAAAATAGGCTTGAAGATAGCTTGAAATGGTCTATTGTTTCTCTAGCATTTGCTGATGACTTGGGGTCTAATACCATGGAATCCAAGCCTGATCCCAAAAAAGCCAAAGCAGGAGGACTGTCCTCTAAAACTAAGGTATGTCAGTTTTATTTTGTACAAGATCAGTTCCATGAAGTTAATAGCTGTGGTTTGTTAATCTGTTATGGGTAGAAGAGTATAGTCCTTGAGCTCTAAAGTGACAGGTGTTCCCGTATCACTTACCCAATCACTGCTGTTGTCATTACCTATTTAATTCTTAAAGTCTGTGTTGTCAAAAATGCAGTCTTGTGAGAGACTCAATTTGTCTGAAATCTGCTTGGCCTCCTTGATTCTGTGCTACTGAGAATTCATTCTTACTGTTACACTTCCAATTGTATACTTTAACATTAATTTTGAACCCATGTATCAAAAGAAATGTATCTCTGCCTTAAAATATGAAGAGTAAAATGTTCTCAATCACTAGTGAGAAAAGGGAAGGAATATACTTGAAAGCACAATAATCTCAATTGGTTACAGTCAATTTGTGGTTAGGTTTTTCTGTTTTGCTTTACAGTAATTTTTTTGCTATTAACTTTAAGTTTGTCCTGTGGGTACAACTAAAAATAACCTGAATTGTTTTAGTCCTGTTGCCTCCATTGTCTGACGTAGTGCTATAACAAGAACATTTTATGTCCATCTTAATTACAAGAATGAGCAAAACAGACCTTGAAGGATATTGTAGATTTGCTGAAGTCGATGCGGTGTTCTGTCAAGAGTTCAGAACTGGGATTGTAGAGTTAAGGCCTTTGCTGCAAATGCATTAAAAGGTTTGGAATGGTAACTCTTAGGAGTAAATAGCTGTCTAACAACAAAGACTTTTCTGTGGCTTATTTACAGCAGTCAAATGTTAATAGCAATATATCCAAGGGTAATGCCAGCCTGCCCAAAGCTAATACAAGCCTCAGCAAAGGCAGTTCAAGTCTGACAAAGAACCAGTCTATCAAACAGGTACCACGTTGGGTTTTAGGGATGTGTGGGTGACTAGCACACTGGCTGAGTGATGTGTCATACTTCACAGGGTACTACTGTGCACACTGTCATGGGTATTGCTTCCACAGCAGCAGAGCACACACTTTTAAAATTCTAATCAACATTTTTTCTTTCAGCTTCTCTCTGGCTCTTGTATACATAAGCAGCATGAGACTGGCTGGTATCTAATGCTTGCAATTGCTGGGACTGAGGCATATATATGTCTTGTGTTGCCTGTTAATACTATGCTTTTTTCAGGGTGTACAAGGGAAGAAAGTGCTAAGCAAGCCTAATTTGAAGGAAGACGATGATAAATCAGGTCCTATTTTTATCATAGTCCCAAATGGAAAAGAACAGAGGATGAAAGAGGAGAAAGGTCTGAAGGTGAGAAAAATTGGAATGTATTCACAAGTTTTGAAGGAGATTTTTTTTTTTTTAATGGCATTTGTTAGTTTTGAATCTAGAATAAAATGTACTATGGCATGAAAGTGCTAGTCACTGTCCATCTCTTGGACAGATTCTTCAGTTGAATTTCACAGGTCAATATCTGGTTTACTGTGACGTTTCTCTTCTGATTTCCAAATTTTGTGCATATGGGCTTTCATGACAGTGTATAAATGCTGAAAATTTGTGAAGGATCGTTAAGCTTAGTCAACTGTTTTCAGGTACAGAGTTGCAGGATACATTGTAAATGCTTCAATTTACTTATTTTGAACAACCCTACTTAGCAATTCTTAGGGAAATTCTGTTACTGAAAACATGCATGTTATTTGTAACTTGCTAGTAGATAGGCCTGTCTGTAGCTTAAAACCAACCACTTTAAGTGATAATTATTAAGATGATGGCCTAAAGATAACCAGTCCACATGAAGAAAATTTTTCACGTAAGAGAAGGTGAGCAAACACCACCGATTTTTCCTGTTACTTATTGACAATAAGAAGACTTTGAAAACAGATTCTGAAGCGGAACTAAATGATATACAATCAGCAGAGTCTTTCAGGAAGAAAATGTATTGCTTACTTTGAGTTCTAAATGCTGCCTTTTACAGGTGTTAAAGTGGAATTTCACTACTCCCCGTGATGAATATATTGAACAGCTAAAAACTCAGATGTCCACTTGTGTGGCCAAATGGCTACAGGATGAGATGTTTCATGCAGACTTTCAGCACCACAACAAAGCACTGGCTGTTATGATTGAGGTGAGTTTGTCTCTGTGGTAGTAGATGATGTGCTATGGAATTATTCTCTGCTATGACAGATTCTGCTTGAATTCAAATCAAATAGGAATTCTCTGAGGAGTCGAGTCATTTTTCTGTGAAGTTGAAAGCTAAACATATATAGAAATAATATTCAGAGATATGGTGAAGTTGGTATTAATACCGTTTCTTGGGAGAAGGGAAAACTTCCTCACCAGAGACTTCTCTTAGAATTTCAGAAAAGCTGTATCAGTTAAAAGTGAGTACTTATGGTTCTGAGAATTGACCAATAAATGTAGACTATCTTATCAGACATAGCTTAGCTTATTCTCTGTTCTTTTCTTGAACTCTGTGTGTGTGTGTCATTATGCATAACCTTTTTTTTTCTTCTTCCTTCAAGCACTTGGAGAGTGAAAAAGACGGAGTCATCAGCTGCCTGGATTTGATCTTAAAATGGCTTACCCTGCGGTTCTTTGATACCAATACAAGTGTTTTGATGAAAACACTTGAATACCTTAAATTGCTTTTCAATATGCTGAGTCAAGAAGAGTATCACCTCACTGAAAATGAAGCATCCTCTTTCATTCCGTATCTTATCCTAAAGGTACAATTTATTTTACACAAACTAACCTTATTTTTCATGAGGAATATAGCAGGATACCATCAAATACTGCAATATGTTCATTCTAAATATATTGTGAATAGAGTTAAATCCAGTTGGCTGCTGGTCATGAGTGGTGTTCCCCAGGGCTCAGAGTTGGGGCAGTCCTGTTTAATATCTTCATCAGTGACTGGGCAGGAGTGTTCATCTGCTGGAGGGTCAGAAGGCTCTACAGAGGGATCTGAACAAGCTGGATAGATGGGCCGAGGCCAGTTGTATGAGACACAACAGGCCTAGTTTTTTAGCCTGGAGAAAAGGAGGCTCAGGGCATATCTAGTGCTCTGTATAACTACCTAAAAGGAGGTTGTAGTGGGGTGGGTGTTGTCTCTTTCTTGCTAAATAGCAAGTGAATGAGAGAAAACAGTGTCAAGTTGTGCCAGGAGATGGTTATGTTGGATATTAGGGAAAACTTTTTCAACAAACAGCTGGTCAAGTATTGGAACAGGCTGTCCAGGGAAGTGGTTGAGCTTCTATCACTGGAGGTATTTAAAAGATATGTAGATATGGCACTTAGAAGCCTGCATATTTCCCTTTAAAAGACATTGACCAAAAAGGAATTTTGCCTTGAGAATAATTCTGGCTTGCCTGACATTATTTAGAATAGTGAAATAGTGTCATGAGACTGTTTAAAATATCTTATATTTCTTCCCCTCTTTTTCTTTTATTAATTTTCCATTAGGTAGGAGAACCGAAAGATGTCATCCGCAAAGATGTACGTGCCATTCTGAACAGGATGTGTCTCATCTATCCAGCCAGCAAGATGTTCCCTTTCATCATGGAGGGGACAAAATCCAAAAACTCAAAACAACGTGCAGGTGCGAAATGGAGGATTGAACTGGGCTTACGCAAAGTACTTGAAATTGCTTTGGTTTGTGTCTTGAAAAACCCAGCATAAGAGTGTTGGGTGGGATATGAGATTTGTCTGCATGTGGCATTTTATGCAGATGTTCGTGTTTAAAGGATCAGATTTTAAAGTATTGTATTGCTTTTTATTTTGGTGCCTTTGTACCTTCCAAAGATGAGCAATCTGTCATTGCTATCAGTATTAAGATTGTGTCTCCCTTGAGTAGGCTTGTTTTCTTAGTGAAACAGTACTGGGGAGAAGGGTGACAATACTCTTGTCCTAGTCACCAAGAGAATCAGTTAATCTGATCAACAAATGTCTCTACATTGCACATTTGTCTCAACGCAAGTAAGGTCTGTAATAAAGTTAAGGTGCTTGAACTACAAACAGCTCCCTAGTCACCTTGAAAATATCTTATCCTGGTATAACATGGAAGTTAAATTCTCTACATAATATAGCATTGCAAGCTCACAACTGTCTAAACTATCTAGATATGAAGTTAACTGTAACATTGCTTATATAAGGTAACAGGAAGTATTTGAAGGGTATAGGGCTGACTGACAGCTTTTACATATTCTATCTGTGTGAAGTAGTCTGAACCTGTAGTTTACTTTTATTCAATATTTATTATTTATTCATCCTGTAAATCACCTGAAGTGTCTGTCATCAGCTTTGTGATTGACAGTTCTCTACAGTGAATGTTCACATTGTCCAAGCAACACAGAAACTGGGAGTGCTCTCTTTCTAGCAGCTTTCAAGTTGAATATGTGTATGTTATTTTGTTTCTTTAGAATGCTTGGAAGAGCTTGGATGCCTGGTTGAATCATATGGCATGAATGTATGCCAGCCAACTCCAGGGAAAGCTTTAAAAGAAATGGCAACTCATATTGGTGATAGGGACAACACCGTGCGCAATGCTGCACTCAACACCATTGTGACTGTCTATAACGTTCATGGTGATCAAGTGTTCAAGCTGATTGGAAATGTGAGTATAACTGGAGATAAGATTATGAGGGTTTGGGATTTAGGTGGTAGGTTTTGTTTGGTTTGGTTTGGGGGTTTTTTGTTTGGTTTGTGGGATTGTTTGGGGGTTTTTTGTTCCTTACTCTTTTGTAGAGGATTAGCACTGTTTTGCTTGTGATTGGTCATCTTGCTGTTGGCGTCAAGAGCATTTTGTAGTTTTGAAAATAATTATCATAAGATCTGTGGTGCTGTAAATTATTTGGTTAATCCCAGATTGTGGAATATATGAAATCATAGAATGGTTTGCGAAGGGACCTTAAGGATCATTTAGGTCCAACCCTGCTGCCATGGCGAAGCCACCTTCCACTAGACCAGGTTCCTCAGAGCCCCATCCAACCTGGCCTTAAACACTTCCAGGGATGGCATATCCTGTTCCAGTGCCTCAGCCACCCTTACAGTCAAGAATTTCTAATCCAGTCTAAACCTACCCTCTTTCATTTTAAAGTAATTACTCCTTGTCTTATCACTACGTACTCCGTTTAGAAATCCTCTCCAGCTTTCTTGTAGGCCCCTTCTAGGTACTGGAAGGCTGCTATGATGTCTCCCTAGAGCCTTCTCTTCAGCATCCTGAACAACCCCCAACTCTCAGCCTGTCTTCATAGGAAAGGTGTATATAACCTGGGTGTGCATGAATAAAAAACAAAGCTGGAATAAACAAGAAAAACACTGACTTTCATGGGAATTAAATTGTTTATAAAGAATAACTTGAATGGATATTTTATGGAATATGACGAGCAGGGAAGGAAGGCTGCCCCTTTTTGGGTTTTTTTTTGCCTTTGCAACTTCTTGAAAAGTTGAAGTTTAATGTGACTTTTGTTTTCTCCGGTAACCATTTCCATGAGAATTAATGTTGCATTTGCATTAACATTTTAGAATGCAATCATATTTCAACTACTGTTCAGAGTGCAATCTGTCTCCTCCTTAGCTTTGCGTAGTCCATTTGCTTTTGGATTTTCAAGGTTAAGAAAAGAACTGTAGCACCTGAACTCTTCAGCCCCTTCTAACTATGACTTTCTGAGCTTCAGTATGTCACAACTAAAATGTATGGGTTCTCAGGAAGGCTTCCAAATCATAGGGATGTTGTAGAGTAGTTCTCACAAAATTGTCATGCTTACTTGTGTTCAAATGTAGTTATTGCTAATCTTTGGTCCAGTAGGTAAGCAGGTATATATGAATCTTTTCACTGCCTGAGTTGGAGTTTAATGTTCGATCTTGTGTTGGGATTGAGTGATTAGTACATTGAACAGGACAACTGTAAGAAGGACTCTGGCTTCTGTGGCAGGGTCCAGAGTGTTAAAGCACTGCCTCATCTCCTAATAGGGAATATAGAAAAGGTGGATGGCGGCTTTTTGTTTGAGTTTTTTGCAGCAACACATGCAACAATTGGAAACACTTGATAGTACCATACTTTGAATTTGAGATTAATTGTTTCTTGAAAATTATGTGGACTAGAAATAACTGTATTTGGTATTACAGCTTGTCAATATAGGTTAATTAGCTTTTGAAGTAACATCTGGCAGTCCAAAGTGGCCCTGTTAGTTTGCTGGTAGGTGATAGCATTGACAGTTCCTGCCTTGGTGATAGGGAACTTCAGTCTGCAGTAGTAAGTGATATGCATCCTGTAGGTGACCTAGATTTCTAAAATCCATACAACTCGAGTTGAGTGAAAGTATTGTGTGTTACAGCTTTCTGAGAAAGACATGAGCATGCTGGAGGAAAGAATAAAACGGTCAGCCAAGAGACCCTCTGCGGCTCCTGTGAGACAGGCAGAGGAGAAACCTCAACGTACTCAAAACATCAGTGCTAACGCTGGCATGATGCGGAAGGGGCCAGCTGAGGACATGTCCTCCAAGCTCAAGTATGTAATGATATGTTGTGGTCTCTACCCTGCATAGTGTCTGTGCTAATATCATGTCTGGCAATGTCATTTTAGTTCTCATATCATCATCTTTGCATGTTGTGAAAATCGGCCATATAATATAAATCAAAATGTCTGAAACTTTTTTTGTCTTGTCTGTCTTGAAATCTTTCTAAATGGTCTTGTGCCTCTTTTCACTGCTTCTCCATGGACAGAATTATGTATCGCACTTATAGGATGTAAGTACTGCCCACTAACTCCTTGGTAGCAAGGCTCTTGTATCTTTCAGTTTCTATCCCAGTCACCCCTCCCTGAGGGTGACGAGTTTGCCATGACTAGTTCTAGGTTATTTACAGGTCTCTGACATAAAGAAAAGAAACCAAAAATACAGGTTTCTGTCAAGGTGACCATAGATCAAGCTGCAGCAGACTTGGCACTTCCACATTAAGCAGCTGTTCAAAATATTGGGAGTACTTCCAATGTGTTACATTAAACTTTGTATTGGTTGGACCCTGTTCTTAACTTTGTTATGTTAAACATAAAGCACAGAACTGGATAGGCATGTGTGAATCATAGAGCCTGGGGCAACAGTACCAGAAACAAAAAACTCAGAAACTGTATTGCTTGTTGCCTGCTCATTATTTCTGAGTAAAAATCTGTGTTGAGAACTATGTATTAGAATATTTCCTTAAAAATCCAATATGCAGCACAAGTTATGTGGGATGCTGGGAGTCTTAAGTTCAGAGGAACTTGCAAGGTTGCTGTGTACATATGCATCCTGTCCGTCATTAAAAAAAGCGAGAGGAGAAAGAAGCCACACTAACTTCAAAGCTGTGTTCCATTTATACTCCTGTAAACTCTACTAGTTATCTCAAACCATTGCATACCTGTCACAGGTGCAGGGGGTCTTGTGGGTTACAAGAGGAAGTCAAAAGCAAGTGACTAGCAGCTGCTCTTCTGGCCCACAAAAGTTTGTTTTACTCATGGCTTAGGGGAAAGGCAGAGGGAGTTATTAGGGGGCTTAAATATAATCAGAACTCCAAAATCTGTGCTATTCTGAGAGCTTTAGGCCTACCAGTGGATGCTAGTGCTAGTACTCTTGCCTCTTATGTGTGTGTAATAAACACCTCTCTCCTGGTTTCTATAGCCAAAATCGCAACATGGGCAGTCACTCTGAGACAACACATACTGTTCCGCGGGAATTTCAGCTGGATCTTGATGAAATTGAAAATGACAACGGAACTGTCAGATGTGAGATGCCAGCACTTGTGCAGCACAAACTAGATGACATTTTTGAGCCAGTCTTGATTCCTGAGCCCAAGTGAGTTTAAACTCCTAAGTGAAACCAGCAGGGCTGCTTAAAAGCTATTTCGTGAAGCTGAATTGGCTAGTTTCTACGTTCAGACTTGTTTACATAAGAGGGTAGTGTCAGCTAATTTGAAGAGATGTCAAAATGAAGGTCCCTTGCACTGTTCTGAAATCTGGAGAGCAGTTATTTTTAAAGAAAAAACTGAGTTCTACTTATGTATTTTTATAGTAAAAGAATTCTGAGTTTGTAAATGCATCATCAGTGTCCTTACAAGTAGCGCTATAGATGAGTTAAAAAGAGTGATTCCTTCCTTGACTATCCTCAGTGAAAAAAGAAATTGTTTTCCCTTGTCTCTAAATCTTGATTGAAATGTAGCAGTTAAGTGTGAATTAAAGTAGCTCTCCAAAAAGTAATGAGTTCTCTTTTCAACTGTTTAGAATTCGTGCTGTGTCCCCACACTTTGATGACATGCACAGTAACACAGCTTCTACTATCAACTTTGTCATTTCCCAAGTAGCCAGTGGTGATATAAATACAAGCATTCAGGCTCTGACACAGGTAAGTGAATTAAGGTAGCAACTGATCATAGCAACTAATCACACTGTATTAAACTATTTGTCTGCGAGGGTGATGAGTTGCACTGTGGTGGAGCACTCATGTCAGGTGACATGGACTCTGCTCAGAATCTCCCTGATGACAAAACAAAGTGCACAGGGGCCATCTGACTCGCTTTAGCAATAGAAATTCCACTTGGAAGAGGTAGAATAGACTTAACACTTTTTTCATTAGTGATTCTGTGTTATCGTTTTGGTTTTGTTAAATTATTTGTACTATGAGTTTGAAAAAGCCAGTTAGTCAGTGAGACTTAATTTTTAGTGTAAACTGGTTTATAGATCCTCTGCAAAAGGATTGTCTTGCCCTCAGTTTTTATGTGGTTTTAGGGTGGCTTTAACTACTTCAGAGTTTTCATAATACTTAAAAGATTTCATAAAGCTGTTAATTCCAGAATTTTTAATGGAGTGTTTTCATTTGCGTACAGGATAGGATTGCAGTTCTCTAAAAGATTAATAATTGGTTGTGTTGGGATTAGCAATACAGGTCAGTGGCTACTGATTTCAGGTGGAAGCTTAGAATACAAGTGCCTTGGCAAATCAATTGGTCAAGGCAAGGCCCTTCCTACAGAAAAGTTTTTAAGTCATTGTTATTTTGCACTGTTTGCATTATGTTGACTTTACTAGTGTTTTGTTTTTAAATCTTAGATTGATGAGGTGCTCAAACAGGAGGACAAAGCAGAAGCTATGTCTGGCCACATTGACCAATTCCTAATAGCTACCTTTATGCAGCTTCGGCTAATCTACAACACGCACATGGCAGATGAGAAGCTGGACAAAGATGAGATAGTCAGACTTTACAGCTGTATTATTGGGAGCATGATCACGGTAAGGCTTTGATGTAAAATGGGAGGTGAAGAGCAAATAACTTCTGTGCAGAAATTGCAGGAGAATGGAATGTCTGTCCTGTACCTAGGTTAGATTACTACTGAGTCTCTTTTATGGAGGTTTGTTGCTAACTGTCTGCTCATCAATGCACCTTTTGAGAGGGAGTGGGGAATGAGAAACTGGGGGAGAAGGTCTCTGCTTCTGCAGAATACAACCACTGTAATACTTCTGTTAAGCTCTGTTTTTATATTCCTTTTTGAGTGCTGAGTTGGTGGCCTAAGTATTTTCAGAAGATACTCAGTAGAAATAACTTTCTTCATAGTTGTGTTTTGACTGTTTAATGTTGTGGGAAACAGGGAGATGTCATGGTTGGACAATGTAGTCTAGAGAACTCCCTGTATTAAAGGATCATGTACAGGGAAAACTAATACTGTCATCAATCTGTAGCTATTTCAGATAGAGAGTCTGGCTCGAGAGGCCTCCACTGGTGTGCTTAAAGACCTAATGCATGGTCTTATTACATTAATGCTGGATTCTCGGGTTGAAGACCTTGAGGAGGGGGAGCAGGTCATCCGATCAGTCAACCTCTTGGTAGTGAAAGTTCTGGAGAAGTCTGACCAGACCAACATCTTGAGGTATATAATGAAAACTGCACAATTACTGCTTTTCTTTACCTGTTCTTCTGTGTTCCTTGAATGGCTGAGTTTGTTAGTCACTCTGTAAGCAAAGACAAATGTCTGTAGAATCATTCAGTTAGCTGATCAAGAATTATCACTCATCATCAATGGTGATCAGAATTTGACTCCACAATCTGCACAGCTGGAGGCAAGCTAAACAAACCAGCTTAGTATGCTTCTATGTGCTTTATAGTTCAGCAGACTGCCTCTTAAATTCTTGTAAGTAGAAAGAAAGAAGGAAAGAGCTGTTACACAACGTGATGTAAACTACTGGACTAACCTCAGTCTCTGGTATTCTGGGGTGAGTTGGCATCTTTTTTTCTTTTGTATAGAATGTTTTCTGTTTAACCTCTGTAAATTTATTCCTTTTAGTGCTCTACTTGTTTTGCTCCAAGACAGTCTTCTAGCAACAGCCAGCTCTCCTAAGTTTTCAGAACTTGTCATGAAGGTGAGCCTATAATAGAGATTTCAAATTTACTTGGATTATCTGAATCATGTTAGCTGAAATGACACATACAGTTAAAAAAAAATAGTGGCCATAACTTGAAATACTTCTTATAACCTTATTAGATGTCACATATAAGGACTTCTTGTATGCCAGGAGGGAGCTTAACACCTGCTAATAGTTTACAGAAACTTGTACACACTAATGCAAACTCAGTACGAGCTGTAAAGTCACCTGCCGAGCTCGTTTGCTTGGGCACAGCACTGCACTATGGATTCAAACAGTCCCAGACTGGAGCTGACTTCTATTTTGTCATCTCTAATGACAGATAGAGTGAATGCGCAAATGTTTGCATTTAAAACATGAGTGAGTTTTTTGGGTTTTTTTATCATACAACACCCTTTTGTAACTGGCATGATTTAAAGACAGCTTAGGCATTCTTAATGAGGTTAAACCTAAAGTCAGTGTACATAGCATGTATGTATTATCTGCTAAAATTTCTTCACACAAAGCATTCAGTCTCCTGCTGTAGATAGAGAAGTCAGCACCACATTTATGCATCAGCTCTAAAGAAAGATCTGGATACTGTACAGCTAGTTACAAAGAGAAAGTATGTACCAGTGCAAATATAGCTTGAACAGACAGACACTGCGTGCCTGTAAATGGTAGCAGAGTGAAGTGACTCAGTGGTAATGTTGTGTAATCTCTCATTACATAATTGAATGCTTTTTCCTTGAGTTATCTTGCTTTAAGTCGGCCTCTCGTTCCAGTGTCTGTGGAGAATGGTGCGTCTTCTTCCGGAAACCATTAATAGCATAAATCTGGATCGGATTCTGCTGGATATCCACATTTTCATGAAGGTCTTTCCCAAAGAGAAGCTGAAGCAATGTAAGAGTGATTTTCCTATAAGGACATTGAAGACTCTGCTTCACACCCTGTGCAAGTTGAAAGGACCCAAGGTGAGAGCAATCACTAGTCATGTGCTTTTAAATTGAATGTTCATGCAGTGTCCTAAGTTTTTCCTTATTTTTCTTTTTTTTTATTCTCCTTTTTTCTTGTTTTAGATCTTAGATCATTTAACAATGATAGACAACAAAAACGAGTCTGAACTAGAAGCTCACCTTTGTAGAGTAATGAAACACTCCATGGATCAGAGTGGAAAAGCTGATAAGGATACAGAAAAAGGAGCTTCTCGCATAGTAAGTAAAGAAAATGTGTTGGTAGGGAAAAGGAATGAAAGGCAATTTAAGAAACAAGTTTAATTTTATGTTTGTGTAATGTGCAGTAGTGATTGCCTTTTTGACATGCAACTAATGTTGGAAATACTCTTCTAATTTCCCTTTCATTTATGGCTGTTTTGGGAACTTGCTGTGTGTGTTTATGTGAGTATTCTGTGCATAACCCAGGATGAAGTGCTCTCCAGAACATTCAAGTGAGCAGCATAGGTTTATTGCTGCCTGACACTGGATCTGATCTACTAGAAGTTAACCATACCCAAACCAAGTTGTAAACACTACCTTCTCAGAAGAAGTCCTCCAGCTTGATGATATCCCTCCTCTCATTCTGTGTAAACAGTGGCTATGTAGAACCCTGATCACTTGAAGATTTTCTTCATCTTGGAAGCTCTATATCCAGCTAGCAGATCTGAGGGTGGCGTGGGTTCGTCTGACTTCCATCTGGTTTTATTCACTTTGTTTTAAAAGTCTCCTTTTGTTTATTTATTTAGGAGGAAAAGGCTTCAAAAGCCAAGGTGAATGATATTTTGGCAGAAATATTTAAGAAGATTGGCTCAAAGGAGAACACCAAGGAGGTGAGTGCTCCCTTCCTGCATGAAAGAGGGCATGATACATTGGAATGGTGTATACAGCACTTGTAGTAATACCTAGGAACTCTTCCCTCCCAGGGTCTAGCAGAGCTATACGAATATAAAAAGAAATATTCTGATGCAGACATTGAGCCCTTCCTGAAAAACTCCTCTCAGTTCTTCCAGAGTTATGTGGAAAGAGGCCTCCGATTGATAGAAACAGAACGTGAGGGGAAAGGACGCATTGCTCCTTCTACAGGTACATGTTATAGCAAAACTGATTCATTTATGAGAAGCAGAGATAAGAGATCAGTTACATGTTTCCTGGTAGAAACTAATATTTGTAGATGTTTATGGATTTCCAAAGCAAACCTGGTGCTTGTGTTGCTTCATGAGGCACCATTTGCAGGAATTATGCATTCTTGTTTACAAAAAAAAAGTTATAACCACACTAAATGTAGAAAACATCTGAAAGGCTTGGTAAATAAGTGGTTCTAATATGTGTCCTGTAGTGTGGGTTGAACATTAGCCCGTGTTTCCATGTGTCCGGTATCAAAAATTGGTTCTGCAAGGTATATAGCTGGTTTATAACCCCAAATCTTTGTTCGTGAAACCTAGCCATGATGAACAGCAGCAGCAGTCAGGTTCTCCATTTACCTTTTTACCAAAAAGGTGCAGGAGGCTTTTTACAGTATTATTTACTATGGAATTGGAAAGCTTATTTTAAATAACTTGAACTGTTCCTCTAGCAGAATTTATGATGATCCCTTTCCAATAAACTAGCTTTTTAATTGGATAAATTACTGTAAAACAGTTTGTTAGTGAGTCTTTTCATTGCAGATAAATACAAATGAGTATTGCAATATTAGGGAGGGAATGTGACAAATCGTTAGCTGAGAGTAAAAACTGATACACAGTCTATCAAAACTTCCTTTAACTTTCATGTCTTTCACATTTCATTGTGTCCTGTCAGACTTTGTCCTTTTTTCTACTATTGTTCCTTCTCCTATTCCTGTATTGTTGATTACTTTAGGAAGATAATGAGATTCTTTCAGAACCTCTTAAATGTGTTAAACTAGGTTGGACAGAAAATTCTACATTTCATCCTAAAAGTCTGTACAACTGAGAAATTAGTACAGCAGTTTTCAAAATGAAATTTACATTCCACAATTGTCTTTTTTTCCCTCCCTAACTATAATTTTGTTATAATAAAGGATATTGTTCCATATTGCAACAGTGCTTTATTTAGAGTAAAATATAAGTAAGTGTATTAAAAGTATAAATGCTTAACCTTAATTCTCCTTTATCTAGTTTAAATGTCCTTGCAGTAAATTAATGAAAACAAACCCTTGTCTGTGCTGTCTTAGAATTTGCAATTCATTTCATAATGGAAAAGCTTTTTTCATCATGTGAATTCCTTTTCTAGTCTTCTGGTAGGGAAGCTTTAAAAACCTTGCTATGTGCCTTCCAGAAATAGCTCTTTGAGACTGAACTGGAAGAAAAAGCTTTAAGTTACACAAATGAAGTAAAGAGGAGTTAGGATCAGTGGTAAACCCAAAAGTGATACTAAACTAGAAAAAGACAGAAGACTTCAAATATTTCCCATCTTGCCAATTGCTGAGTTCATTCTGTCAGATGTTGTGGTTACTTACTGCTGATCCATATCAGCATCTTCCTCTCTCCCCACTGTTGTCTTCAGCTGTCAACCTCAGCACTTCTGGAGCTGCTCTGCAGCCACTTCTTAAATTTCTCCATTTCTTTTCTTGGTTTTCAGTTGTCACTCTTGCAAGGAATTGGAAGTGCTGATACATCTATACTAGCAAATGCAAATAGCTTGGTAGTTTATAGATTGGTTAGTTCTTCATTCATTGCATCTTGTTTCAAGGAACTGACCAAGAGGCTTACTCTTTTTTGATGTTTTTAATTGGTTTTAACTTTTCTTCCTTCCTTCCCCTCATCCTCCAGGAATTTCTTCTCAGATGGAAGGAACATGTGTTCCTGTGTCTACCCACACTGTATCTTCCTCTATAGGAAACACAAATGGGGAGGAAGTGGGGCCTTCAGTTTATTTGGAAAGACTAAAAATCCTCAGGCAGCGTTGTGGCCTTGACAACGCAAAGGTATTGTACTTGACAACTCTTATAAATCTCCAGGAAAGGAACTTGATTTGTACTTTTTTTTTAAAGAATTCAAATTGATTTCTCTGCCAAAGTCAGATTCTAATCAGAATTTTTGATCTTTCATTATAGTGCATGTCCTAGTTACTCAATGCTTGTCGCTGTGCCTAGTATAAATGGCTTTAAACGCATTACTTGGCCAAGTAGACTTAAGTTTCAGTCCACTCTGTCTGCAGTACTGGTGTGCATGCAGGTTGTTTCTACAGCCCTGTAGTTTGGTATCTTCACTTGCTGGGTAGTTGAGTCTCAGGTTCAAATAACTACTGTTCTCTAAAAACTAACATATACTGACCTCTGAGTTGAATGATGTGGAAATTCTAGATCTTTCTGCTGTGAAACAACCATAAGAGCTGAATTAATTTGAAGTTGTATATATTTGGGGTGTATGAATACTGAGGCACAGAAATGCGGAATGAGCTTGGTATTGGAAACCTGTGGACCGAAATCTCTTACAGTGCAGTGATCTATGTGCTAGGAATCTAGTGCCAGTCACTGAAATTTGCACTGGGCCAGGTGAGAAGTAATGTTCACTCTAGGAATAGTTATCAAGGTACATCACTGTTTTAACTTGCATATCAGCTCACAGCTCTGAGGAGGGAAAGTATTTCCTAGATGATAGTAACAAGGTAAATAACTCTGATGGAAATATCAATCGGTAAAAGAAGAGTGAATTGACATTTTAAGTCTTTGGCAGGGTCTATCTTGCCAATTAATTCAAGTTTCCTCTTCTCATTCCTCCAGAAAACTCATTGCCTGTTGATACTGCACATAGGCATGGACTTTGCACTTGTGGTGTTAGAATTCAGGCTGTTTAAGACTGGCAGTCTGTCTCAGTAAAACACTGGTCTGCAGTGAATTTTTTGATCTTTAAAGACTGTAGTTCCTTTGTGTCCCTACTGACATGAAGTTAAATATTAACTACTCAGATGATAAGAATTGAGTATTTTAGTTAGCTTTGCACCATTCTGACTTTATTGCTCCAGATTCACTTGTGTTGTAGTGGTCCTTCCGTTTCCTCTGTTTTCACTGTTTCCTGTGAAGATGAGAATCCATTGATTATGATTTGTACTTATATAGCATTTACCACTATATGTCTTAACACTTCACTTTCCCCCCTCGTAGCAGGAAGACAGACCCCCTCTGACGTCTCTGCTCTCTAAACCTACACTCCCTACAGTTGCATCCTCTACAGATATGCTTCACAGTAAGCTCTCCCAGCTCCGTGAGTCCCGGGAGCAGTACCAACATCTGGACCTGGACTGCAATCAGACTCATTCCTCTGGCATTGGAACTACTCTGGCTTCACCTTCTTCTGCAGCAGCCAATATTGATGACTTGAAAAAAAGATTGGAGAGAATAAAAAGCAGTCGCAAATAGAGAAGCAATGCTGTTGCTTGGGGCTGTCTTCAGCTTTAGTTTACTAAACTAGAAGTCTTCATAGTTAAATGGCCTCGTTTAGGCCTAATGTATACAAACTGGTTTATGTATAATACAGTGGATTTTGGGGGGTTGAGTCATTGTGGCACAAGTATTTGTACATACTCTGCTTCTCAGTGAGCATCTCTTTGACAATAGAAGGCTGTCTGTGTATTAGTTTTAGTGTACAGACCTGTAAACAACCATCCTGCTCACACTAGTTTCTCATAACTTGGGGTTTTTATTTGTAAAATTGTCTTTAAGATTTTTTCCTAGTTCTTAACTCTTAGAAGATCTTTAGTGATTTCACTTTTAATTTTGTGAATTCTTCTCCATGTAATCCTTGAACTGTTGATTCTGTATGGACACATGGCATGAAGTAACTAATTTAAGTGTCTTTTGTAAATAAAGTTTGCATTAACTATACCAGCCTCTGTAGGAACAGCAGCAACTGCTGGTTATAGGTCACTCTATATTCCTGAATGTTAGTGACTGGGCATCTAGAAACTGAACTAAGCTATTCTTGACATGAACCTTGGGATTTGGATACATTACAAGGAAGATGAGTGGAAATATACTGTCTGTGGGTGCAGTCCTGAGACTTTGCACTCTTCTAAGAGCAGTAGTGCATTTTTATATAGTTCCTTTTTTATGTTTTGGAGTATGTTTCTGTAACTTGAGAATATTTAGTTTGCTGAAATGCTTATTTTAAATTATCTAGTCCTTGTGATGCCTTTTTAGCCAGATTAAGCGTAGACCCAGCTGAGGGAGCTTTCTTTGAGGGAGCCTGCTGCTGTTGGTATGGAATAGACTAGCAGTGATGTACAGTCAGTGGGCTCATTTATCCTGAACTCATTTGGTTAAGCAGTCTTCCTCTTGCAGGTAGACCTCACCACTACATTCTTTTTGCTCTTAAACATCTGATGTCAGCAAACTCTACTAGTTTGTGTAACTAAGACACCTAGTAGGGCTAGTCTGAAAAAGCTGTAGCCACTTTTTTTTTTTTAAGAGTAATTAGCCTTTTTCAGAAGCTACAAACATGAAGATGAAGACAGGCACACTGTGTATCCTTTCTAGCCCTTTTATTTCTAGGGAGGTGATGTGTTTTGACCTTACTACTGCACTTCCATGTGAGAACTGGTTGTGAAGCATACATTGCACATCTGTTCTGTAGCTAGAACAGAGTTATTGAAGAGTTGGACAGGCAGGCTTAAAATAGCACACTTCTGCTCTATATTTTAATCTGTTCCATGTAACTGCTGCTTTTGTTGTTTGCTCTGTGCACCAGCAGTCTCTGCATTAGGCCATTACTGAAACTGCCTTGCCTGATTACAGTAAAAATGTGGCTTTAAATTAGTACTTGTACAACAGATCTATGCCAGAGCTTCTGCAAATGTCTGAAAACTTTCACAGGACCCCTAGGCTGGGGTTGCAATTGATGTATTGCTGCTTGGTGCTTATGATGAGTTTGCACACTGCAATAGCAGGTGACTTGCGAGCGTTCTCCATCCTGTGTTAATTGATATGATGCCATTCCTTGCTCCACCACCTTGATTTAGTAGTCTCAGTCCTCTCTCATAACCTGAAATGGGCATGCACTTTCTTGTGGAACAGAGCTCTGTTACAAGTGGAGGTTGGCCCTTATTGGAAAGTGCTGAGTTTTGTGCACTTTACCTGGGGCAGTTTTTGAACAGTTTGTGTTGGCTGGCACTAGTTACTGCCACTACCTCTCAATTACTAGCTGCTCTCTGAAACTTAGTGACATTTAAATTAATCCATATGTTCCTTTACCATATCCAGCAGACATTCTGAAGAACTATTTGTTAATTAGCTCAGGATGTTAAAACAGCGATGCCTGCAAACGTGTAAAAACTATTTTAAGTTTGAAGCTGAATTGGAAGTGAAATACAGGAAAATTGAGTAGCAGAAGATATAGTTTCTTTTTCTGAATGAGTTTTTGCCCTGTGTCTCTGTAGTGTTTGGTTGGACTCAATATCCTGGGAGTTCTGAACTAAAACTTGTGCACACAAATTAATAAAGCCTAATCTTTAGCCCAGACAATATTTAAATAACATTAAACTGACTTTTAAAAATTATTCCTCTGTATTGTTTGTAACAAGTCAATATGAACAGTGACTCATTCCAGAAACTCTGTGGTCCTGGTTCCCCTCTTAGATATGCAATTTGTCACAGATAATTAGATAGTAGTGAAAGGGTGAGCCTTTAAACATTAGAAGGGCTAAACATTTTCAGTGTCTTGTGCCTGTGGTTATCAATGACTTTAAACAGTTGTGGAACATGAGCTCTTGAGGTTTCATTCCTCAGCTGTCATTAAGAGGTTGGGGTTTGTGCTTTATTAGGGCAATGAAATTGGGCTACTTCAAGTTGTTTCCCACGTGAGCCATCTTAAAGGAGGTGGCCAGACACTAATATCAGTTGTTCTAAAAAAACAGTTATTAATTTCAGTGTTGCCAGTTTCTGTGCCTTAATGGCATTATGAGCAAGGAGTTCAGGAATGAGGTGCCATAGAGAGCAAGGAGAGTTTTCAAATCTCATGATTGCTTTAAGAGAAAATTGGGCTGAACAAGTTGGCTAGCCAAGAATGTGTTTACTGCTGTACTGCTGGGTCCTCAGCAGTCCACAAATTGCTGCTAAAGAGTTTATGAAAGAACTGACGCTTCTTTTGGGAGAGATCCCTAAACAGCCTCTATGAGACAAGCAAATAAGTATAGTGCAGGATGCTTCCCTTGGAGGCCCTTTGACATTGCATGAATTGGTTCCTTCTGAATCTTGCTATGCAGGTGGAAAATACACAATGAGGGCCCAGCAGGACCTGCTATGTAGAAAGTTAGTGGAAGTGCTGCTTAACATATTGAAGCCCATATTCCTTTGCAGGGTGAATTGCAATTGGTGCTGGTATTTGTTGCCTGCTATTGTAGCTGAGAACAATGTCTTTATGGCTTTTCTTTTGACACTGGTGTTTTGTGTAATGCCACAGTTACCATCAGGTGCTTATCTCTGGTACATTCTTGGCTCAAAATCTAGAACAGAAAATGAGTTGTCTTGAAGGGAGAAAATGGACAGTGCATGAGGGCACAGTTGTGCTTGCTGTTACTGCCAAGGCCATCATCTCAGGTCCAAAATCTGTTGCTTATAGCTGATGGAAGGGAGGAGAATTTGAAGCACAAAAGATAATTAGCAATACAGCCAGTACTATGTTACTCCTGGCTACTGTTATGGCTTAGATCCAAGTGCAACTAAACTCAGCATGAACAAAAGGAAGAGAATGGGTTTAAGAGCTTTTATTTTTGAAGGATAAGACTTTCCTTTGTCAAGTTGTAAGGATATAACTTTTACTTCAGGATCTTCTGTGCTTATGTTTTTAAGTGGAGCATTGTAGCAAGTCTGAGAGCAAGCAAGGTAAATGCTTCAGCTATCGCCCGTATTTTTCAATGGCTTTTCGCATCCACTTTTTCAGGCGGAATACATGGGTGTAAAATCCATATTTGCCATCTCGGTCACATCCTTCTCCCCATGAAACTATTCCCACTTGATACCAACGGTTGTCATCTGGATTCTAAAGCAAATGAAAAAATGGGATTGACACAAGGAGCAAGAGACTTTGATAGAATCATGGAAACATTAAGGTTGGAAAAGACCTCCAAGATCAAGCCCAACCTTTGACCGAACACCACCCTACCAACCAAACCATAGCACTAAGTTCAAAGTCTGGTCATTTCTTGAACACTACCAGTGATGCTCCCACTTGCATGGGCAGCCCTTTCCCATGCTTAAGCACCCTTTCAGTGAAGAAATTCCTCCTACTGTCCAACGTCAACCTCCCCTGGCACAGCTTGAGGCCATTTCCTCTTGTCCTGTTGGTAGTTCTCTGGGAGAAAAGGCCAACCCCCACCTTGTTGGTAGTTGTAGAGAGTGGGTCACCCCTGACCCTCCTTTCAGGTAGTTGTAGAGAGTGATAAGGTCACCCCTGACCCTCCTTTTCTCCAGGCTAAATAACCCCCCCCTTCCTCAGCTGCTCCTCATAGGACTTGTGCTCTAGATTTTCTAGCAGCTTTGTTGCCCTTTCAGATCTAAACCTTGTATGCACCCCAGCCTCTTTAATGAAGGATACTGCTTTGGGATTCAGACTGGCATCTCCAACAGAGCTTGTTGGAGTTTTTTTGTCTCTACTCTTAAACCTGTAAGTAAGAATTGGCCATCAGTCATGCATTCTGCAGCTGATCTCCATATATGCTGAGAGCTCAGTATAGAAGTGGGGCTGGCTGACTGCAGGATTCATCTCCAGGATTCAGCTTGGACATGAGCTGGGTTTGCTTCAGCCACTCAGCAGTCTCCACCTCTGCTGCTGTCTTTTAGACTATTTTGAAAGTTTAGCGTAGCACAAACCAAGCTCTATATGTCTTATGAGCTTGAGCTTGTTGAACATACCTTCATTACAAATGGTCCCCCACTGTCCCCTTCACAGGCATCTCCTCTCTTTGAGTCTTCAGGACTGTAACCTACAGCCAAGAAAAAAGTCGGACATTTGACTGTAGGGGAAGTGGCTGGTGTTGGCCATCTTTTCCTTGAAGTTGCATAAATTTTCTGAGACCCATGAGATAGATTGTTTGCTACTCCTGCCAACTCGGACTTAATAAAAAAACAAAGCAATTTTCTAAATTTATATGTAAAACAGCTAACTCTGCTTCTGTCTTTGCAACATTCCTGAATTCACCCTCTGTGCTCTCATTCCTGTTTTATTAATCAGGATAGCCGTGTCAGTTGCCACTGTGTTCAACAGCTGTAGCTTGAGCTACTGTGCTTTTCTTGTCTCAGAAACTTATTTGTAATACTCCATGTGTCGTTTTCTATCATTCTGTTTACTACAGAGGTATGTTGCTGTCCTCACTTTCACCTCCCTGTCACTGCAAGCTCTGTTTCTCCTCACCCCCAGCTGTCTTCCTAAAGTCTCACTATGAAGAGGAACAGGATTTCACTTTCATTCCTGATGAACTAGGCAGTATCTTTGCATTTTCCCATCACTCTAGTCTCCCTTTTTTTCTGTATGTCTGCATCTCAGCTGTTTTTCAAGAATGCTGTCTAGAAAAAGAAACCATAAGAACAGTGTATTTTCAGCACACTCATGAAATTGGCTTCCATCCTAACTCAAGCAATCACATGCGCTTACATGCAAGCAGCACAAACTTATTCAGAGATCACTGGAGGTTTGCTTGTAGGAACCGATAAAGTCTGCACAAATAAAGAATAGAGCAGGAACTGTTAAACTCTTACATAAATCCATAGTCTTTTGATATCCTGAATTCTGTGTCTACTTCCCTTCTCACTGAAAAAGGGTGTAGAGCCAGAAGAGATTTAGGAAGGTGGGAGCCTGTTGCCACAAAATTTGCAGGCATAAGTATGAATGGGC